TAAAACAAAAACACGATATGTATACACGTAGATGCACATCTATATATATGTATACATTTATTGTTGGGAGAGATGCCGTACCCGACATGCCAGGACCCCGAGGGAGATAGATGTATTCGAAGATGTAATTATTATATGGGCTTCTTGGCTTTGTTCGCTCTAGGTTTCGTTCGAGCAAGTAGCAGCGGTGTGCGACTGAGGGTTCAAGGCTCGATGACAATTCCCAATTTCATGTACTCAAAGATTTCTGGGAATCAAGCCAACTTCAAGCTGTAAGAATTCTTGGTGTTGGATGTTGGGGATCTCAGAACGGACCACGATCTGGAGCGCTGCCTGTGTAGGGCCTCTGAACTGCGTCCGCCACATCCGGGCATCCAGGTCAAGGACACACCAAGCCCGAAGAGACCAGACACCTGTATAGTATGTTGCTGGGTAATGGCTACTACCACGGTCATAGGAAAAACCTCGCATATTCAGTGTGTATAGAGTCTAAGCTAAGGAACAGGAACCCCTTATACTCCCGTCTTTGAGCACAAGTCTGGTCGGACCACGACCTGCAATTTGAGGCCCTTACACCCTAAACCCCTAAATCTCAAGCCCTAAAATATCTTAAGGCCCCGAAGTAGTTCCTTTTTTGGGTTCGTATTTAGAATCTTATGAGGGAATCCCAAAAAGGAACTACTATGGGGCCTCTAGGTATACTCTACAGGTAGCTGGGCTCCCAGGGAAGCGCAATTAACAAGAAGCCGATGGAGTCGGTTCCGCGCGAAAGAGACTGGGGCCGAATAAGAGCTCGCAGCACACACAACCCAAAGGATTTGGGGTCTGTCAGCCTTTGGTTTTGAGTTTAGGGTTTTCGTTGAATCCAATGCCCTTTTCCTTGCGTCCAAGGGTCGAGTTTAGGGTTTAGGGTTCCGGGTTTAGTTTTAGGGTTTCGACGCTCGCACTCGCACCAAGCAGGCAAGGCTCCACAAAGTCCACAGGATCTCCACTATTCGGCAGTGTGCAATACTGGTAAACACAGGGTTTAGGGTTTCTCGTTAAGGGCTTAGTTTTGAGGTTTCGGGTTTTGGGTTCAGGGTGTAGTTTTAGGCTTTCGGGCCCTGGGTTTGAGCTAACCGGGTGATTCCCTCTCGCACGGCTACGTAGAATGAGGCCTGTAGGGTCGGGCTGTTAGAGTTGCCCCGTAGAACAAAGACCCATTCTTTCAGGACTCCTCTAAGGGTTCCACCAGCGTTTCTACAAAGAGGCGTGCTCTGGTTTCTGATAGAGATTGAGCCGAAAGGCTGAACACTTTAAGGATCCTCTTGAACTGAACAAAGAATTCAAGATCTCATCAAATGGAGCTTTAAAGATTGTTCTGAGACACACCTGGCGCTGGGTTTCAAGCACCCTCGATGTGGGCATACGGTTCAGTTGATCGTGCTGCATCTTTCCTGGCACCCCAGAGATGAAAAATGGAATCCCGTCGCGGCTTGCAGGTCATCTCGGCCATCGCTGCACTTGATGAAGCTGTCGCCGCTGGTATCAGAGACCCTCCAGTGGTGATGTAACAGTGATGTGCCAGAGAGTAAGTAGAGTCATGACAGGATCCATTACCTTAACTAACAAAACACCTTGTCAACAAACAACCCAGGCTCGCCGAGCCTTCCCCATAGCATTGCTAAACTCAGGCAAAACGCCTTCTGTTTATGGCATGCGTGACTTCCTGAGCAAGACCAGTGACAGAATAAATTTATGAAATGTTGAATGTGCTATCATATGGCCATATTAGATATCCTTCTCATGGGCTTTAGGTTTCCATAGACTATGTCCATGTGTCTCTTGATCTCTCGCGAACGTCCAAGCCGAAGACGATTCTGTAAGTCGCAACGGTGAAACAGTCAAGGGCGCATGCGCAGCAAGAGCCCAAACATGGCGGATTCACAGGGGTTCTATTCGGGTTTCGGGTGTAATGTAGCTGCCCGACTAGAATAGGGGTTTGGAGGTGATCTCATAGTCGATTTATAGGACTACAAAGGACACCATGGCTAATTATTCAATCCCCTTTGTCAACCGCTCGCGACTGAGCCCTCTATGCCCAGCCAGTTCCTGTAGGTATTTGCTCGATGTGATGACTCGAGGGAGCAGAGTACCCCTGTAACAATAGATGCACCTTTGCAAAGACACAGGCTGACAACAACACAATTGGGCATTCGGTTATCATCTGTAACTTCCATTTCAAGGGGACTCATGTGAGGAGGTGCCGAAAAAAATAATTGAGCTCTCGTGGATTCATGGGTTCAGGGTCTCTGGCGCTGGGCTGGGTTTAGGGCTCAAAGTTATGAGCGTCGTAACTCTTCCCAGCTAGCACCTGTTCAATATGATGCAGAATAAGAGGACGCGAAGGTTGTTTAATGGCATCACACAAATACCGACTTAGCTTTGGGCTAGCAAACCCTTGACTGGAGCAGCAGCCCAACTGGGATTTTGGCTCCTGCCCGTGAGGCGCCTGTCTTGTGAGCTGATAGCAAAGCTCCTTTGAAAGGCTTTCTTCGACAATACTCCCTGGGGCTCCAGTTACCTAAATAGTAAGTTACTAACCACCTATTTTATACCCGAGTCCTGGGACGCGCAGTTGGGAATTCTTAAGCCGCAGTGTTGAACGATGAGGTCGCGGCCAGTCGTCTGATGAACCAATGCACCCTGAACTCGCTATGCGCTGCAGCCTCTGTAGCAGAAAGGTCCACGAATAAGGGTTCAGCCAAAAACCTTTATCAGCACCCGAATCCTGGCCTGGTGCGTCAACCTTACACCCTGGAGCGCGGTCACGGTCGGGTCGAGGAGTCTGACAGCTCAAACAGTCACGTCTTACAGGGGGGGGGGGGCTCCTTGTTGTCGATTTAACCCCTCCTCTTCTCTTGATGCACGGACCCGGTGTGATTCTGAGCCCGAAACGCCAGTATACCAGACAGGGTACCTCTACACTGCTACACTGCTACACCCCATAAAAATCCTGGTCAACATATGATAAGCCACATGCTCACGCCAAACAGCTTTGGCAAGCAGCGCTGTCACGAGCGGGAGCCCGCCCCCTCTCTAAGGGGCGGGAAGCGGGTCTTTGCCAGACTCTCGATTTTGACTTGGCGGTTGTTGATTCCTGGGTTCTGTTTTGATTTACGTGTACTCAAAACACCCAGTCTCGCTTTCGGACTAATTAAGCGTTCACCAGTTACTAGCATCAGGACGAGTTTTACACAGAACGAGAATCATGGCAGCTTCAATGGGACCCCTGTTGTGGAACAACGGTCACCTGCCAAGTTGCTGGAGCTCCTTGCTGTCCATCACGGCTCCAAATCTTTTGAGGGGAATGTACCCCGAAAGGCTCTTTAGAACGAAGAGCTTGCTGGAAGTAGTCAAGCCATACAAACGTTATCCTGAACTCGTAGCGAAGCACAATTACAGCGAGCTCACAGCTCGCTACGCCAGGAGGGCATATCCTTGGGGTGCAAGGTGGCAAGTGTCACTGTCTGTCTGAAGGCAGGGAACATTCCCATAGGCATATCTTCGATACCTCATGCTTCTCTGCTGTTGGTCCCCGAACCACAACCTCCTAAAACCTTCAATTCTAGGCCCTACTGAACCAGCCTAGACCCTTTAGCACAGGCTTGTGTAAATCCCGCCTGGATGTGTCGCACCTGTTCTCCGAACAAGGCCAGACACAGAACGAAATCACTGACTTAGAATGGTTTTCGAGCTGACTAGACCCTAAATAAACCAAGAACCTCGCCGCTCAGGACTCGCAGCTCTGCAGGTGGACGCCCAACCCTGGAGCACGTCCAAGGCACCCCAGGTACACACCAAGCCCGCCTCCTGGAAATTCCGCATAGCCAGGTGCGCTAAAGCCTCTTTGAAGGGCTCTAATGAGGGGCTCGTATTCTTTAGAAGGGCAGAATCGGGGTTAAGGCGTGTGGGATCCAAGGCTATATGTACGGGCTTGAGGAATTCTATAAGCCCTTTACAAAGCAGTCAGCAAAACGTCATTAAGAACATGTTAAGGAGTCCGAATTGAGGAACACTACGAGCACCTGGACTACTACATCGTTCATTCCCCGACACTACCACTAAATCTCTACCAATTCCGCCGTTGTGCGCTTCTTTGGACTCTAGGACTCGATCTTTGGAGTTTAGGGTTTACAAGGCTTTAGGTTTTAGATTTTAAGGCTTAGGAGGTTCACCCCAGAGAGGCATCGAACGCTTTGTGTGAGGTTGTAAGTGCAAGGCGATGCTTGCGGGGATTGCAATAGAGGTCCGAGGACGCCAATTTTTGGGATACCCTGTGCCTGCAGACGAAGATGCAGATATGAACTTTTGAGGTTACAGTGTTTGCATGGTTCGCGTTATTTTTTGGATATTGACCGTCTATAAGGCTTAGGAGGAAAATCTCGAGTCTTCGGACCACCATAACAGAGGCTTGTCGAAACCTCCCCCGCGCTGGAGTGGTCACAGACATACCCCTGAGTATAAGGCCGTACTGGCAAGGCCGTGCAAAAAAACGAGGCGAGACATTGCGCTCTTGAGGTGCTGTCAAGCTCCGGGGCACCACGGAAATTGCGGCCTCTCTGGTTAAAGTCCTTTCGGGACTACAAGACTATGTAAGGACATATCCGGACGCTAATTCTGGAGTCCTGAGCAGGTCCAGACTTGAAAGGAGGCTTGGAGGTTAATGTAAAGGTTTCGCTGAGCTGGAATCCGTCTCAGGGTCAAAGGCGGACGGAAGGTCCCTGAACGCAAGAATCCTAAGAGGGTTGCTGTCTTGGGGCCGGCTTTGGGGCCCCTAAATATTTTGAAACTCCCACCCAACTAATTTAAACTTCCTGACGCAACCTGAAAAGGACCTGAGATCCTAAGACCTGGTGAAACCCACAGACCGAACCCTAAGCACTGGATCACTATCGGAGAGGGACATCACGCAACTTCCTGCCGCCCTGGTGTGGCCACAAAAACCGAGAAGGCTCAGATCAGCCTGCGAAAGGCCGGGCTTTGGGGAAGGAGCGAGGAGGGGGTTTCAGACAACCGGGAGAAAAAACTGTGCCGTGTTTCTTTACAACCCTTTCATCGGGTTCTTTAAGGGGTGTTGAGAGGGCTCATGCATTCATGGATCCCACTATGCCTTGACATGGGGCTTGTAGAGGTGAGGTGGCTTTATAGGGTAGTTTCAGGGTCTGTCGGGAAATGCTGGACCTCTAAGATGCCGGCATAAGAGTTTGAAGAAGGGCTTGGCTCAAGGAAACGGAGTCAGAACATGACATTGTTTCCTCGCTCAGATACCCCAAGACTAGGAACCCTCACTTGCTGTGAGTTGTCATAATCGATCAAGCATGGTTTCCGTGGTCTCGTGCAGACAACTAATACTAATTAGTCATTGAGGACAGCGTAATGTACGCCAACTTCTGTGGTAACTTCAACTAGGTCCGTTTGCAGGGCTCCAGAAAGCTTCAAGGGCTTCTGGGTTTGCTTTGCCCTCACCTCTGGCGAAGGACTTCGATCCGAGAACAGGATTGAGAAGTTCGACAGAAGTATGGTTGACGGAGTGGGGTGGGTTCCAGGCTTATGTCCCAGAACCGTTGGCTCAAGGTTTAGACCTCGTTTAAGCGACGAAGGCTCAGGATGCAACGTCAGCTTTTGAGCATAACCCAAGTAACATCCCATGCCAAGGGCAGTTTGCATCAACTCGAACAGGGCCACTATCGACAAGCCTCAATGATCCAATCACTCATGGGTTCGTTGGAAACGGTCCGTCACCAGAATAAGGGCCTCAAGAACCTGACAGTCAGTTGCAAAGCAGAGCGAGTTTCGGGGCATGCCATCTCAGTTCACGAGGACTGTAAGGGATAGATATGATACTGACATGAAAGCTCAGTATTCCGGCCCGTATACCGGCGTTTATGTCGGCTGCAAGCCCCCAAACTCCCAAATTCTGGACAAGAGAGGATTCTGATAATTGCATAATTATAGCCCCCCACATTTCATGAAACTTCCAAAACTCGGATGCCCAGCGTCCCGTGCTTCTAAAGCCTTAGCATTTAACCTTCGATTCTTGGGGCGGCACTGCTTCCGCCCTGTGGTGTGGCCAAGAGACGTGCGACTGCCTGCCGAACGTTTCTCTGAGCACCACAGGTCCCTTGCTTGGGCTCCGGAAATCAAGTGTTACAGTAAGGGTCTTGCAGTAACCCAAGCCGTCTGTAGCTTCAGCCTAGGTCCCCTGGTGTTCTTAAACTCTCATTTTGACCTTCGGCTCTTGGGCTTAGGCCTCAGAAGTCGTGGACAAGCGGGAGGGACCAGGGATGCTAGGGTCTAAAAGTCTTATGTAGAGTTTAGCTCCTGGGGGTTGAGGGGCAGCGCGGCCACCGACGCTGACGCCGCAGACACCGGCGTTCCCGATTTTGAACCCCAAAGGAAGCTGGCTCAGTGTAGGATACTCGAAGCTTCACCTTCAAACTGAACCTTACGTCCCGCAACCCATACCCTAAGGCTACTTTTTTTGCAAAGCTGATAAGTGCCAACTCGAGATCCTGACCCTTGCAAGAACCTCGTATATTAGTATTTAAGGTTTACAGGGTTTGGGGCTTCCGCTTTATAGGGTTGGGGTTCAGGAGTTTAGGGCTTAGAGGAAGGCCTGGAGACGAGACCGCGGCACTGCCACGAGCCTCAGAGATTTCAGAGGATCCCCATCGATGGGATTTTGGTTGGGCCCAGTATTCTATCATTAACTTATACATAATAAAGAAGTATTGGTAAGTATTGGGGCCCCTTTAGGCTGCTGCGATTCGGGCGCTATGAAGGATTCGTGTGGGGAGAAGTGTCTTGGCGGAGCCTTGGTGCGGAGTCCCTCGCTTTTGCTTGGAGCGTTCAATGGAGGTCCGGGAAGGCACTCAGATTGCGGATGCCGGGTCACTGTATACTTAAAGGATCATGGGACTTAGTAACTAGGGTTAAAATTAGGGTAACTATACTTATAACCCCAATTAAGGTACTTATAACATTACTTACTAAGTCCCATGATCCTCCAAGTACTGCAATATCACCACTGCTTGGGGGGGGCTGTTGCTGCGAAGTCTGCATCTACCAAAGGTCTGACTCGGTGTGACTCTGAGCATGGGGTTCAAGATGTGTTGCGGTTCGCAGAGCAGAGGCCAGGCATGTCTTCTAATAGTACCCCCTCCACAGGTTCAATCCTAAACCCCGGAAACCTTGTTTTCTGCTGTCCGGATGGAATCCATCCGGCGCCCATGACCACTCCACATGAGGAGACGCTCAGGGAAAGGCGAGAAAGCCCCTGAAGGCGGGAAAAGAGAGTGACCCAATGATGCTTTAGGGGTGGAGATTTTGCCCACAAGGCCAAAGGCTAAGAAGGGCTTAGCATGCCGATTGCACCTGCAATGTGGACCCCTTTCCCTCCGGACCACTGGGTGCCGCCTAGGTGCACATGATCCTCAGCCGCCGTCTGGCCAGGTGCAGGCTGAACACATGCCTTTGCTGGGGTGTGGGCCAAGGGGATTTGGGCTTCCGGGATTGCGGGTTCGGGATGCTCGTAGGTGGGATTCGAAGTCTGAAACCGTCACGGCTCCCTTCCTCAGTGGCTCCAACATGATATCGAGACAGGGTGCAAAAAACAGACACTACCCAATCAAAGTACTCCAAATGCCAACCTGCCTCTCCGCAGGCTTGCACCGGATGATAGCCCATCAACAGATTCACTTGTCCCATTGAGCCGGACACCAAACAGAAGATGCATAAAGTGCGCTGCCTTGACTATTGATGGTGGACCTAGTATGGATGGCTGTTCCGCAAGCTTTTTGGTGCTGTAAGTTCTCGGGGCTTTGATGCGTTTAAGTTTAAGTGAACCCCAAACAAATACCCCTGCTGGCCAGAGGAGTTGCGGGCCGTTCGTCGCTGCGCGCCGGTGGCGAGGCCGATCGTGGGGCGAAAGGCCAGCCAGGGGGCCTGACAAAAAGCACAGAACCATCCCAGCATTGTGGCAACACCAGCTAACAATAAAGGTCATGGATATTCTGCAGATGTTCGTGATATTGCGAAACAAGCTGATGTTGATTCTGAAGATGAGTACAGCGCAGACATGGTGATGATGATGATGGTGAGGTGGGACCGCTTGCCACGGGCACATACAGCAACATATAGCAACTCTATAAAGCCGAGTCAGCTAGTCCAAGGCTTTCTCAAACGTGTGGACTGTGACACAAGAGTGTTCGCATGGATTCCTGGCTGAACAACGACCGTGAAGGGGTTTTCTCAGACAGATTCACGGTATGAGCTCGAATATCCAACCTTGTATGCTGGAACCGTCCTTACTGCGATGATCTGCGAAACGTTGGCAACATTAGAATGGTAATGTATAGTGACAACCACGACATGAATGCTCTGTATTCACAATCCCATTTCTTCTGCATCTCTATCAGGGCATGCTGTGACAGCCTGTTTGGGCTGGCTGCCCGGTGCCGGTTCTGCCACGGCTGGAAATGCGGCGGGGCCTGGCCAGACAAAGGCTTGCTCACAGAAAGCTAAACGATATTAACAGGGGTCAGAGTAGAATTTTGCAGCACATTTAAAGAAACACATGCACATTAAGGAACCGTCAAAAAGTGGCATTTCAGGCCCCTTGAGGCTCCTTGGCTGCACCCCAGGGTCATAACCATAAGAGTACAAGGGTCTCTGGGCTCTCATGGCTCAAGGCTTGGAGTTTGTTCAGGGGCCTTAATAATTACCAATTCTATTTCGTGGTTCTTTTAAATGATTTGGAGTTTGGGGAGTTACCAATTCTATTTCGTGGTTCTTTTAAATGATTTGGAGTTTTGGGAGACTACTGTACATGCATGGCTTTTGAGCTTGGGGCTTGCGCTGCGAGGTCTTCCGAACTCTAGACCCTAAACTGGGAGTGTCCGAAGATTAGGGGAGCCCAACATGGTAGGCCCTAAGTAGTAGGATCCTTATTATAAGGACCCCATTTTCGGGTACCGATAATTTTTGGAAACTCCCAACTCTCAATCCCACAGGCCGAAAGGGTCATGGGGCTTAGAGCGTCAAGGTGTAAGTCTTGGAGTTGAACAGGGAAACTTACGATATAGGGTTTGGGGGTCATTACAATAAGGAATCCCCAACATATGTGGTATAGGTTGTTCTTTAGGCTATAGTATAGCAGTTTTATGAATCCCTTAAAGTACCCTTATAGCCCCCTTTACAATTGCAAGAACCCTAGGTATATTAGCACAGTCCTCGCCTGGCGCAGGAGCCGCTGGTGGGCCGCGTCCGCTAGGCGGTGCGCGGCAGCGGCACGCTTCCGCTCCCACCTCGCCTTCATGGGAGAGGTATAGTAGAAGCCATAAACATATTGGGAAAAAAATTATTTCCGAATCTTTTCCCCTACTGTTTAGTGAAGCCAGAATTTTGGAAAATGGCTTTAGGAGGTTTTTTGCTAGGATCCCTTATACCGTACCTTAAGGGCATGAGGATAATGATGTTCCAACTTTCTGGCTTCTACTGTATGCTTTTGAGGGGTCGGGGTTTCGGGTTTTTTCCCTCCAGGGTTTGAGGTTTAGGGTTTGGGGCGATGAGGGTTTAGGGCGTTTCGCCGCGGGCGTTTAGGGTTTAGGTTGAGGGTTCAGGGTTCGAGGTGTGCTTTGAGGGTTGGTTTTTTTTTAGGGTTTAGGTTTTAGTAATTAAGGGGTTAATAGAGAGAGTCAGGGAGAACAAGGGGATTATTGGGCTGTATAAGGTAAAACATATATATATATATATACATACATACATGTACGTGTATCTGTATGTGTATATATATATATATGTATGCATTATACCGCCAGAAAAAATCAAGATTCAAGATCGCTTAGTGATCGGGAGATGCTGCCTGCCCTCCCGCTTGGAAATCCGGGCTTGGTGCTTCGAGGTTTGGGCGGAGGGCCTGGCTTCAAGAAACCGAAAACTGGGAGTCGAATAGTCTCTCCAGATATGTGGGTTTCCGAAAAAGAAGGGGTACCGTATTTGGGGGTCCTTAAAGGGTCCAGGTACTAAGCCTTACTTACGGCTTCAGCATTCGCATTCTCCTACGAATACTTATCGGACAGCTCCAAAGGGCACTTATACAAGTTATACACATACGACAATCCGGCAATGTGAGGAAGTAGCCTGCTAGGGAGGTCGCAAGGCCTGCTTGCGTGAAGGTTTTCGAAGTGTGGCCATTTGGTTACCAACTAGCTTGCAGAACAAAAGTACGGAATACCCTATGCACGACCTGTTCTGTCACGTCCGTCCATTGAGCTGTAATGCAGGCCCTGAGCCCAACACTCTAACCATCTTTGCCATTAAACTCAAGCAAGCCCCTGCTGATCTCCACTGAAGTAGCCGGTCCTCCCTGGCAATGGGTCTGCTGGCATAATTACTTCCGGCTGCGAATGCTTGCTTTTTTTTTCCCTCCTACCTAGCAAGGACGAAGCCAGCATTGCAGGGTGTCTTGGTTGAACTGCTGAACAAAGCCGTGTGTTTCACAGCTAATTACTCGTTCGAGATGCAAGTAGCTTGTCGACTTACTCTCAAACGCACTCACTCCCGTTTCGGAACAAGGGCGAAGACACTCACTTTGGTCGTCACGAACACCAAAACAAGCCAGCTTTGTAAGCATCATCACGATTAATGACGAGGGCTTCAGAGGTCGTCAGGTTCACAGAGGCAAGGCTGCATCAGCGGTAGAATTGGGTCGGGCTTTGCCGTCTTGACCGATGGAAGCAACTGCCAATCTCTAGTTCACAAGAATCCAAACCCGTTAACGCCCCTTTCCATCTCCCAGCGGCCTCTCTGATCCATAAGGAGTCCGTCTCCACGCACCTTCTCAAAAGAGGGGCTTCATAGTCGCTGCTTTCGGACCTTGTGTGCTTAGTAGCTTTAGGCCCTGTATCGTGGTCTGGCAGTGGTGTGCTTCCTTCGAACCTGCAGAGCCGACGATGTCGGTTTTGTCGGACCGAGTGATATATGGCAGCGGTTGAGGGATACAAGGTCGGCGTGTAGAGGTGGCTACAAGCTCTAAATACGCATTGCGCGACACACCCACGAACAGAGAGAGAGAGAGAGAGAGAGTAGGAGACAGAGACACACAAACACACACGCACACACCCACACATAACGAAAAGAGAAGAGAATCAGGACAATTGTGTCACGGCCTATGTCCTCATGCTTCGGACGCCGCCTGCCTATCCAGCCCAAATCATTGCGACAAATAAAACCTGCCCTACATATCTCCGCAGCGCCAAGAAACTCCGGCTCGCGGTCCTGCGACAGAACACGGGCGCTGTCCAAAAATTGTAAAAGTTCTTAAGGTCTACACGAACTTTTGAGAGCATGAGAGGGTTTCAAAATGTGCTATACAGTTTACAGAATGCTTGTAAATGACCAGCGAAAAGAAAAGGTGACTCTCAGGGGCGTTGCCAGCAGTGTTATCAGACTGTTACCCCTATTCCCGAGCCCAGAGAGCCCAATGCTTGGTAGATTAAGAAGGAACACATTATCTCCCTTAAACTAGACGCATCCTTGACATAGATCTGAAGCATGTTTCTTGTTTTAAGTCATGTAGACAGCTTCTTTTTGATTAGTCAAGGGATACCAGGCTCTCTAAACTACACAGGCTTTGGGTTGAGGGCTCGAACTTGCGGATGAAGGAAGACCGCCGTCCTCACACGCCATGGGACCACCAGCCGCATCAGCCGCGGCGGCTGGAAGGCGCAGTGGCCTCGGGACCCCACTCGCTCTAAGCTCTAGACACTAAGAAAAGCCTTAAAGCCAAAATTCCAGCATGCTACTGTAACGCCCAGACCGTAAGCTCCGTAAGCTCCCAAGGCAGACCGCAAGCTCCCAGGACAGAACGGAGACTTCCAGGCTTTGGGTTTGCTCGACGGTCTGAAGTATTGGCGCATAGGGGTCATAAAGGCACTACAGTCGTCGTGCCCACAATCCGAAACCTTTCGTACCCTAGATGCTAAGCGCCGCAATGCCCTGCCCAAACCGAAAACGCTTGAACCCCTTTTTGAAACCGTTACGTCTGGTAGTATAATACGGCACCTCATATTTAGGGTACCCCAAAAGGGACCATAATTCTGACAACCACCCATATAAATCCAAATCCGATGAAGCCGCAGAAGGACGGAAGAACTCAACACGTATGATGCAGACCGTCAATTATCAAAAACTCTTCCGTAAGGGCCTTAATAAAAGCAAACTGATATTATCTATCAGGATTGAACCGACATTATTCTGGAACAGCCATAAAACCCCAAGGAATACCCTGAAGTCGCGAACCCTATACCCGAACCCCTAATTCCTCATGTCGTGTAAACCCTAAAACCTTTCGGACACCGTTCCTTCTTTCGCGGAGTGTGGCTTTTAGCCTTAATCCCTATACCCCACCCTCTTCAACCGAGGATCCCCGGACTAGGATGCCGCTTCGAATGATGCCACAGCCTCCAACTCCTTGGGCGGTGAGCTGTTGCAGAAACGGGCGAATATGGCTAAGTATAGTATTTTGAACGTACTATGGTAGCTAGAAAACCGCAAAAAAAGCGTGAATAATTGCAACGGAGTTTTGAACCGCTTTGTGTACCATATATTTGATACCGAGACCTCAGACTAGTTTTGCTACTTTTCCAAGCCCCGATTTGTAGACTTGTCGATAGTGCTGTAAGTCTTGTGGGAGCTTAAAGCTCGGGGTTGTGAAGTTGCTTGGTCGTACACCCGCCGCGCAGGACCTTTGAAAGTGGGTCGTTAGAAAAGCTTCGGTGTCTTCTTTAAGGACGCGGGGCTGTCAGGCCTTTGTGAGCCTTTAGCCGCCCTCCGATCAATGCTACGGCCCAACAATGAACCCTAAACCGAAAGCCTCGTAGCGACACCGCCCGGCTACGTTCGACAGCCCAGCTGAGCAGCAAACCCGCGACACATTGCATGCCTGAGCCTCTCCGAAAGTGATTCAATCCTTCAACCGTGATGCATCGTCATAGTCATTTATGATAAAGAAGAATAAAGCATGAACAAGTATAATGCTACTGTATAACTCTTCCATCTACACAACCTGGGCAGCTGAGTCTCAGGTTGTTCTTGCGGCGCTCCCGGGTGCAAGTCTCTGACTCGATACGCCTTGGAGTAAACGGACGGTGGTTGTGATTTGGCTGGTGCTGTTGTTGTTGTTGCTGGTGTTGGCGCTGTTATCGATTTTGGTGTTGTTGTTGCTGTTGCTGCTGTTGCTCCTGCTGCTGTTGCTGTCGTTGACGCTGTCGTTCTCATTGTCGTCGTCGCTTGTCGTTGTTCTTGTCGTCGTCGTGGTCTCGGTCGGGGCTGTGGTTGTTGATGTTGTTGCAGTTGTTGGTGGTCTTGTTGGTGTTGTTGTTGTGGTTGTGGTTGTGTTGTTGCCGTTGTGGTTGTTGCTGCTGTTGTTGTTGTTGTTGTTGTGGTTGTGTTGTTGCCGTTGTGGCTGTTGTTGTGGTTGTGTTGTTGCCGTTGTGGTTGTTGCTGCTGTGGTGGTTGTTGCTGGTGGTGTTGTTGATGTTACCGTGGCTGGTGTTGTTGTTGTTGTTGTGGTTATTGTTGTTGCTGCTGCTCGCATTGGCGTTGGAGTTGGCGTTGGCATTGGGGTTGGTGTTGCTGTTGCTGCTGCTGTTGCTGTTGTTGCTGTTGCTGTTGGTGGCGATGGTGGCGGCGTCGTTGCTGCTGCTGTTGTTGCGTTGTTCTTGTTGTTGTGACTGCTGTTGGTGTGTTGTTCTTGTTGCTGTTACTGGTGGTGTTGGCGGTGGTGGTGGTGGTGGTGGTGGTGGTGGTGGTGGTGGTGGTGGTGGTGGTGGTGGTGGTGGTGGTGGTGGTGGTGGTGGTGGTGGTGGTGGTGGTGGCGCTGGTGCTGGTGGTGGTGCTGGTGCTGGTGGTGGTGGTAGTGGTGGTGCTGGTGATGGTGCCGGGGCCGTTGCTGATGTTTTGCTGGTGCTGGTGCTGGGTGCTGGCGTTGTTTGTGCTGTTGCTGCTGCTGTTGTTCTTGCTGCTGTTGGTTGTTTGTTGATTGTCGTTCTTGTGCTGGCTCCTTTTCTCTTTGTTGTGATTCTTCTCGTCGTTTTCGTCGTCGTGACTGCGGTTGTGGTTGCTGTTGCTGTTCTGGCTGAAATTGTGGTTATTGTGATTGCTGTTGGTGTTGGTGCTGCTATTGCCGTTTTGGCTGCTGGTATTGTTGTTTGTGGTGGTGGTGGTGGTGGTGGTGGTGGTGGTGGTGGTGGTGGTGGTGGTGGTGGTGGTGGTGGTGGTGGTGGTGGTGGTGGTGGTGGTGGTGGAAGTGGTGGTGGCTGCGGTGGTGGTGGCGGCGGTGGTGGTAGTGGTGGTGCTGGTGGTGCTGTTGCACACTTGTCCGCATCGTCGTTCCAGTCGTCGCTTGCCGTTTCTGATGTGTGGTGGTTGTGCATTCCGCAAGAGCAGGACCAGACATGGAACGCATAGACTGGCACTTACAGGTACCTAGGACCTAGGGCTTGAGTGTTGCAGGACATATGTCTTTCAGTTGCACGGAGTCAGATGTTCAGATTAACCCAACGTGTAGGTCCAAAGATAGGAGCCGAAGCAGGCGGCTGAGGCCTCAGGCAAGCTGTGGTCCTCATTGAAGCATACGCCGTTCATGGTCCTACACTATTGCGTAGCAGCAGAAACAAGAAGCCAGGTGGTACACCATGCGTGCCGAGGTGTCCTGAACCAGGGCCGGCTTATACAAGCCTTGAACCAAGGCACACTTAAGCCGTGCACTTCTGCAACACCCATTGCACTTTTGACTGAACTCACAATCCCCAAGCCCCAAACACATAAACCCAAGCTATGTCCGAACATTAACCCTAGCTCCGCCTAGGCACTGCTCCAGCAGCCGGAGTTTCACGGCGCTTGTCTCGTTGAGGTCGAAGGTGGATCCTTACCCATCTCGGAAGGCTCCGAAAACAGCTGTTCTAGATGTTTTAGGGTTTAGGGTTGAGTAACGTGAAGATACATCTGGGGTACGGCTCCAAGCTTCGGGCTTGGTTTATGAAATTACGAGGAGCAGCTCCAAATTTCTGAGTGCTTGGTCTGCCTAGTTGTACGACTCCAGACCTAAGGATGCCCCCTTCTGCGGGAGCTGCGGCCCAGCAGGTCTTCTAAGCAAACACAACCTGCTTGGCACAGGAAATGCAAGAGACTCCGAACGATGATTGAACCTCAAACCTTAAGCCACAAAAAAAACTTAAAACCTCCAAGCTCTAACAGTTTCAAGCCTTAGAAGCTTGAGTAGGACATCACCTCTTTGAGCCCTTCATAATAGCTAGGGATACCCGTGTGGAAGGCTTCCCAGACCAAAGGCCCGGGAATCGTAAACCCTCAATCCCTTTTGTCGCATCCGGGTCCTCCTTGCTGCCGGGAACTAGCTGCGGGCCACTACTATAGGGGCCTTAATAATTAGAATAGGGTTTTGGGGGCCCATTATACTATAGTTATAATAAGGAACCACCAAAAAAGTATAGGTAATTATTCAGGCTCCTATATTAAATCCTTCAACCCTGGACCCTGAACCACACTGACACAGTCTGAACGTAGTATCGCACAGGAGAAGGCTCTTGCACCAGTCCCGGCTCCAGCTGTCCAGTGCCGATGCACAGACCATCTGGAATCCGGCTGGAGTCTGTTGTCATTTGTCCAGTATCCTTTCGGGGTTATAGTATCCCAAAAAGGCTGAAGGTTACCTGCTCGACTACGAAGAGACGAATGTTTCCGGCAGGGGAGATTTGTATGACTTACTCCTTAAATCTCAAGCTCATGATTTTCGGAGGTAGCCACTGCCCAATGTGGATCCGCAAAATACAGTATGCGCTGCAGAATTTTTTCTGCCAACGCCACGACAGCGAAGGCGGTGATCTAATTTGCCTCGGACCCCATATGCGGGACATCCGATGACATCTTGCATAGACCCCATGAATCCCTTGAGCCGTAGACCCCTAGTACAGGGACCTAAATAATTAGAATAGGGTTTTGGGATACACTTTTCTATAACCATTTGAAGGAACCCTCGCAATAGTATTGTTGGTTCTTCAGGCCCCATGCTACATTGTTGAGGGCCGGCAGGTGGCGGCTGCCCTCGGGAACCGGTGGCAACTCCACCGGCTGATGCCCGAGGCCATGAGGAGGGCCTGGGAAGGAGCTGCCGGGCTTCGTTTAGGCTTTCTGTAGCAATGTAGGGGCCTTGCTAACTCGAAGAGGGTTTTGGTGGTTCCTTTTTATAGGTATAGTATAATGAAATGGGCCCCCAAAAAGCCCTAATCCAATTATGAAGGCCCCTATATTAGGGGGCCGGTGGAGGGGGGAGGATGGTTTCGTTGTTTCCAGAATCTGAAGCGTAAGAAGTCGAGCTTCGTTGAGGTCGTAGCTGTTGAGGGCTTAGAACTCAAGAGATGCAACTCAGGGACGGGGCTTACGGTTGCTTCTGTCAGCAATGCCAGCATCCCTCACCAACTTCTAAGGGCCCTCCAGAAGCCCCGTCACCCAAGGTTTTCCTGAATAAGGCCCCTGTCTGGAATGAGGATCCTACGTAACTGAAGGTGCTTGACCCCTACCAAAAAGTTATATAACCTCTACTCCAGCCTCAAAAACCCCAACCCTAGAAGGATTTCCTTCGCTCTAGACTGCGCCGGGCGCGATGTAGTACCGGGCTCCGAGAAGCTGCGCTATCCTTGAACCCCTCGCAACAGTTAACAGTCTCAGCCTTACGACTATATGCTCATACATTGCACTTTACACTCTATATAGACTTCCTCTTTTTGCATCGATCTTCTAACCCCATAGTCTTCAAAGGCGACGCTCAAGAACACACAGAGGAAGCCTGGACCCTGGCAGTCCTTGGAAATGGTGGTTGGCATGGAGATGCGCAGTGTGGTGGCCGTTGTGGTGGTCGTGATGGTGGAAGTGACGGTGTGGCCCATACTGCCTGGTCAGGTGCGGACTCAGTGCGGGCATGGAGGTGAAAAGCTGAGTGTTTGGGGCGAGCTTATGGTTTCGGGCATTACCGTTCGAGCTTTGAGGTGTAAAGGATTTTGACTGCCTTTGGGCATGCGATGTAACTACGCGGAAGGCAAAACCATCATAGAGGCAGGTCCGGGATACATCTCCAGCGGCACCCGCGACTACAATCGGGAAAAACCGCATTCAGAGTCCGCAGTGCCGTGATGAAATCTTCCGAGTCCTGATGCGAACAGGTCTGTAGTGCTGCAGGATTGAATGGGTTTACACAGGGAGTGTGCTTGCGGGTTTGGGCCACAGACTGGTCATAGGCTCTGCACATGCCAGGCACTGGTCAGCGCTTTCATGCTCTTGGCAGGCGTCCGCGAAGCTTTGCTGCGGTTGCACCTTTCAAGACAGGACAGGTGAGGCTAGTCGAAAGTTTGTAGCTGATTCTGCACCGCACTGCTGTCTCCACCCTGGTCAGCATCACCCCAGGTCACCACCGATCCATCATCAAGAATGGCGGCAAACGCCCAGTCACAGGCACAGACTTGCTGCACGTTCTTCAGCTGACCCTGTACAGCACTTCTGTCGCCACCACAGTCAGCATCACCCCAGGTCACGACCGATCCATCGCCAAGGATGGCAGCAAAAGCACCAGCAGAGGCTTGGACCTGCTGCACATCCTGCAGCTGACCCTGCACAGCGCTGCAGTCCCCACCACAGTCAGGATTACCCCACGTCACAACCGACCCATCGCCAAGGATGGCAGCAAAAGCACCACCAGAGGCTTGGACCTGCTGCACATTCTTCAGCTGAGCATGTACAGCGCTGCTGTCGCCACCATTGTCAGCATCACCCCAGGTCACAACGGATCCATCACCAAGGATAGCAGCAAAAGCGAAGTCACAGGCTTGGACCTGCTGCACATTCTTAAGCTGACCCTGCACAGCACTGCTGTCTCCGCCCTGGTGAGCATCACCCCAGGTCACGACCGATCCATCATCAAGAATGGCGGCAAAAGCACGACCAGAGGCTTGGACCTGCTGCACATTCTTCAGCTGAGCCTGCACAGCGCTGCTGTCGCCACCACAGCCAGCATTACCCCAGGTCACAACGGATCCATCACCAAGGATGGCAGCAAAAGCCAAGCCACAGGCTTGGACCTGCTGCACATTCTTCAGCTGAGCCTGCACAGCGCTGCTGTCGCCACCACAGCCAGCATTACCCCAGGTCACGACCGATGCATCGCCAAGGATGGCAGCGAAAGCACCCGTGGAGGCTTGGATCTGCTGCACATTCTTCAGCTGAGCCTGCGCAGCGCTGCTGTCGCCACCATTGCCAGCATTGCCCCAGGTCACAACGGATCCATCACCAAGGATGGCAGCAAAAGCGAAGTCACAGGCTTGGACCTGCTGCACATTCGTCAGCTGAGCATTTACAGCGGTGCTGTTGCCACCAACTTGAGCATTACCCCAGGTCACGACCGATCCATCGCCAAGGATGGCAGTGAAGGCGCCACAAGTGGCTTGAACTTTAACCCCGCTTACCTGCAATGTCAGCGAGCTCCCATTCTGAATCCCAGCTTTTGTAATCGCCTGGCTTGCATCCAGAACAACTCCAGCGGAGTCCAGCAGGCGCCCTCTCCCGGCTCCAAGTGCGATCTGTGCCCGTCGGCTCAACGTCTGCACAGTCTCAGCCAGGCCTACCGTAAGAGTTGCGGTTTTACCGCTGAGTAGCCCAACTTCCACGGCAATCGACATGCCAGACTTCGTGAAGGAAGTCGCAACAACCGAACCCTCAGGTTGTCCTTAAGAGTTCCCTGCTAAAGCCGAGGTCGAAACACCGTGCCAACTCAGAAAGAGCTCGGGTTCTCTGGGTTTCGTGGGGCTCCCTATAGAACAGCGTATATAAGCTTCGCAGCTTGAGGTCGAGACAACTACAATGATTCCCTCATGCTCCTCTGAGCCGCAAAGGTAGGAAGCTTCAGCATATCTTGTCCAACACTCGGGTGCTCAGGTCTTATAGGATCTAAGACCTGTGTCTAAGGTTTGTACACATACGCCCGAAACTCAAAGAGCCCTCAACCGGCTGGATCCTCCCTTCATCGAAATCCTGGCAGGAAGAAGGGTTTGGGGACATCCTTAACAGAGGCATTGCCCGGCAAAAACCCACGAGCCCAAACCTATCCGAAACCCTATATAATCGCCAAGAAACCTTGGCCCCAAAACCTGATAAACACCAAACCCTCAACACCAAGCAGCCTTCTTGAGTAGGGCGCTTCACCACAACACACAATCTCGCAAGCCCCGGAGACTTGGAGAACCCAGGGTTTCTTCGAGTTAGTCCTACGGCTTAGGGTTTAAAGGGGCTGCCAACAAAAAGCCTTAGGACCCAATCCATGCAAATCATAACCAGGAACTGAAGCCAGAAAGAAATAGGTCTTGGATAGAACCCCATGATGAATTTTTTCAAAGACTCTAGAACATAATGAAGGAATTCTAATATGAATTGAAGTATACTGGGCAGTCCCCAAAGCCTAGTAGTACGCTGAAGTTCAATCCTATAAACGAAAAGAAAAACGCAGTCCCAAATGCTACCCCATGAGGAGCTTTAAGTGTACAGGGTCTTGTCTCTGACAGCTCGGATCCATCTAGTCATATGTCATGCTACGTAGTCTGGTTTCGGCCATGGGGTTGAGGGGTGCCCAACGGCTTAGAGTCCGAGAAACGGGCCAGCACACAGGGGGCCGCCCTGGAGCAAAAGCCTAATATTGGGGCCTGCACATTCTTCAGCTGACCCTGTAGAGCACTGCTGTACCAAAACCACTATTTGCCCAGGTCACAACAGATCCATCGCCAAGGACGGCAGCCAAGGCACCAGCAGAGGCTTGGACCTGCTGCACATTCTTCAGCCGAGCATGCACAGCGCTGCTGTCGCCACCATTGCCAGCATCACCCCACGTCACAACGGCTCCATTGTCAATGTCGGAGGCAAAGCCCAGCCTCTAGACGTTTGGATCTGCTGCCTGCTGCACATCTTTCAGCTGACCCTGTACAGCACTACTGTCTCCGCCCTGGTGAGCATCACCCCAGGTCACCACCGATCCATCATCAAGAATGGCGGCAAAAGCACGACCAGACGCTTGGACCTGCTGCACATTCTTCAGCTGAGCCTGCACAGCGCTGCTGTCGCCACCACAGCCAGCATTACCCCAGGTCACGACCGATGCATCGCCAAGGATGGCAGCAAAAGCCAATCGCCGGGCTTGCACCTGCTGCACATTCTTCAGCTGACCCTGCACAGCACTACTGTCTCCGCCCTCGTCAGCATCACCCCAGGTCACAACCGATCCATCGGCAAGGATGGCAGCAAAAGCACGAAGAGAGGCTTGGACCTGTTGCACATCCTGCAGCTGACCCTGCACAGCGCTGCAGTCCCCACCACAGTCAGGATTACCCCATGTCACAACCGATCCATCGGCCAGGATGGCAGCAAAGGCGCCGAGAGAGGCTTGGATCTGCCGCACATTCTTCAGCTGAGCCTGCACAGCGCTGCTGTCGCCACCACAGCCAGCATTACCCCAGGTCACGACCGATGCATCGCCAAGGATGGCAGCGAAAGCACCATCAGAGGCTTGGACCTGCTGCACATCCTGCAGCTGACCCTGCACAGAGCTGCTGTCGCCACCCGACTCAGCAAAACCCCAAGTCACGACCGATCCATCGGCCAGGATGGCAGCAAAAGCACGACCAGAGGCTTGGACCTGCTGCACATTCTTCAGCTGAGCCTGCACAGTGCTGCTGTCGCCACCACTGTCAGCATCACCCCAGGTCACAACCGATCCATCGGCAAGGATGGCAGCGAAAGCAAAATCAAAGGCTTGGACCTGCTGGACATTCTTCAGCTGAGCCTGCACAGCACTACTGTCTCCGCCCTCGCCAGCATCACCCCAGGTCACAACCGATCCATCGGCCAGGATGGCAGCAAAAGCACGACCAGAGGCTTGGACCTGCTGCACATTCTTCAGCTGAGCCTGCACAGTGCTGCTGTCGCCACCACTGTCAGCATCACCCCAGGTCACAACCGATCCATCGGCAAGGATGGCAGCGAAAGCAAAATCAGAGGCTTGGACCTGCTGCACATCCTGCAGCTGACCCTGCACAGCGCTGCTGTCCCCACCAAGGCTAGAATGTCCCCAAGTCACAACGGAGCCATCACCAAGGATGGCAGTGAAGGCGCCACGAGTGGCTTGAACTTTAACCCCGCTTACCTGCAATGTCAGCGAGCTCCCATTCTGAATCCCAGCTTTTGTAATCGCCTGGCTTGCATCCAGAACAACTCCAGCGGAGTCCAGCAGGCGCCCTCTCCCGGCTCCAAGTGCGATCTGTGCCCGTCGGCTCAACGTCTGCATGGTCTCATCCAGGCCTACCGTAAGAGTTGCGGTTTTACCGCTGAGTAGCCCAACTTCCACGGCAATCGACATGCCAGACTTCGTGAAGGAAGTCGCAACAACCGAACCCTCAGGTTGTCCTTAAGAGTTCCCTGCTAAAGCCGAGGTCGAAACACCGTGCCAACTCAGAAAGAGCTCGGGTTCTCTGGGTTTCGTGGGGCTCCCTATAGAACAGCGTATATAAGCTTCGCAGCTTGAGGTCGAGACAACTACAATGATTCCCTCATGCTCCTCTGAGCCGCAAAGGTAGGAAGCTTCAGCATATCTTGTCCAACACTCGGGTGCTCAGGTCTTATAGGATCTAAGACCTGTGTCTAAGGTTTGTACACATACGCCCGAAACTCAAAGAGCCCTCAACCGGCTGGATCCTCCCTTCATCGAAATCCTGGCAGGAAGAAGGGTTTGGGGACATCCTTAACAGAGGCATTGCCCGGCAAAAACCCACGAGCCCAAACCTATCCGAAACCCTATATAATCGCCAAGAAACCTTGGCCCCAAAACCTGATAAACACCAAACCCTCAACACCAAGCAGCCTTCTTGAGTAGGGCGCTTCACCACAACACACAATCTTGCAAGCCCCGGAGACTTGGAGAACCCAGGGTTTCTTCGAGTTAGTCCTACGGTTTAGGGTTTAAAGGGGCTGCCAACAAAAAGCCTTAGGACCCAATCCATGCAAATCATAACCAGGAACTGAAGCCAGAAAGAAATAGGTCTTGGATAGAACCCCATGATGATTTTTTTCAAAGACTCTAGAACATAATGAAGGAATTCTAATATGAATTGAAGTATACTGGGCAGTCCCCAAAGCCTAGTAGTACGCTGAAGTTCAATCCTATAAACGAAAAGAAAAACGCAGTCCCAAATGCTACCCCATGAGGAGCTTTAAGTGTACAGGGTCTTGTCTCTGACAGCTCGGATCCATCTAGTCATATGTCATGCTACGTAGTCTGGTTTCGGCCATGGGGTTGAGGGTGCCCAACGGCTTAGAGTCCGAGAAACGGGCCAGCACACAGGGGGCCCCCCTGGAGCAAAAGCCTAATATTGGGGCCTGCACATTCTTCAGCTGACCCTGTAGAGCACTGCTGTACCAAAACCACTATTTGCCCAGGTCACAACAGATCCATCGCCAAGGACGGCAGCCAAGGCACCAGCAGAGGCTTGGACCTGCTGCACATTCTTAGTCTTCAGCCGAGCATGCACAGCGCTGCTGTCGCCACCATTGCCAGCATCACCCCACGTCACAACGGCTCCATTGTCAATGTCGGAGGCAAAGCCCAGCCTCTAGACGTTTGGATCTGCTGCCTGCTGCACATCTTTCAGCTGACCCTGTACAGCACTACTGTCTCCGCCCTGGTGAGCATCACCCCAGGTCACCACCGATCCATCATCAAGAATGGCGGCAAAAGCACGACCAGACGCTTGGACCTGCTGCACATTCTTCAGCTGAGCCTGCACAGCGCTGCTGTCGCCACCACAGCCAGCATTACCCCAGGTCACGACCGATGCATCGCCAAGGATGGCAGCAAAAGCCAATCGCCGGGCTTGCACCTGCTGCACATTCTTCAGCTGACCCTGCACAGCACTACTGTCTCCGCCCTCGTCAGCATCACCCCAGGTCACAACCGATCCATCGGCAAGGATGGCAGCAAAAGCACGAAGAGAGGCTTGGACCTGTTGCACATCCTGCAGCTGACCCTGCACAGCGCTGCAGTCCCCACCACAGTCAGGATTACCCCATGTCACAACCGATCCATCGGCCAGGATGGCAGCAAAGGCGCCGAGAGAGGCTTGGATCTGCCGCACATTCTTCAGCTGAGCCTGCACAGCGCTGCTGTCGCCACCACAGCCAGCATTACCCCAGGTCACGACCGATGCATCGCCAAGGATGGCAGCGAAAGCACCATCAGAGGCTTGGACCTGCTGCACATCCTGCAGCTGACCCTGCACAGAGCTGCTGTCGCCACCCGACTCAGCAAAACCCCAAGTCACGACCGATCCATCGGCCAGGATGGCAGCAAAAGCACGACCAGAGGCTTGGACCTGCTGCACATTCTTCAGCTGAGCCTGCACAGTGCTGCTGTCGCCACCACTGTCAGCATCACCCCAGGTCACAACCGATCCATCGGCAAGGATGGCAGCGAAAGCAAAATCAAAGGCTTGGACCTGCTGGACATTCTTCAGCTGAGCCTGCACAGCACTACTGTCTCCGCCCTCGCCAGCATCACCCCAGGTCACAACCGATCCATCGGCCAGGATGGCAGCAAAAGCACGACCAGAGGCTTGGACCTGCTGCACATTCTTCAGCTGAGCCTGCACAGTGCTGCTGTCGCCACCACTGTCAGCATCACCCCAGGTCACAACCGATCCATCGGCAAGGATGGCAGCGAAAGCAAAATCAGAGGCTTGGACCTGCTGCACATCCTGCAGCTGACCCTGCACAGCGCTGCTGTCCCCACCAAGGCTAGAATGTCCCCAAGTCACAACGGAGCCATCACCAAGGATGGCAGTGAAGGCGCCACAAGTGGCTTGAACTTTAACCCCGCTTACCTGCAATGTCAGCGAGCTCCCATTCTGAATCCCAGCTTTTGTAATCGCCTGGCTTGCATCCAGAACAACTCCAGCGGAGTCCAGCAGGCGCCCTCTCCCGGCTCCAAGTGCGATCTGTGCCCGTCGGCTCAACGTCTGCACGGTCTCATCCAGGCCTACCGTAAGAGTTGCGGTTTTACCGCTGAGTAGCCCAACTTCCACGGCAATCGACATGCCAGACTTCGTGAAGGAAGTCGCAACAACCGAACCCTCAGGTTGTCCTTAAGAGTTCCCTGCTAAAGCCGAGGTCGAAACACCGTGCCAACTCAGAAAGAGCTCGGGTTCTCTGGGTTTCGTGGGGCTCCCTATAGAACAGCGTATATAAGCTTCGCAGCTTGAGGTCGAGACAACTACAATGATTCCCTCATGCTCCTCTGAGCCGCAAAGGTAGGAAGCTTCAGCATATCTTGTCTAACACTCGGGTGCTCAGGTTTAAGACCTGTTTCTAAGGTTTGGGATTGCCCCACTTAAGACGCAACAAAACACTGTTTTTACACCTGGACTATGCATATGCCAGGAACCGAGGCGCCGACTGTGCTGTGGACCCATGCCACACGGCTACCCCAGATTTGCAAAAACTGATCAACTCGAAATCCTAAATCCTTTTCGCAGTTTTTGGATTTCGGCAGCCTCAACCTAAATCCTGGGATCCTACTGTACTACCCTGAACCCAAACCCTCTCAGCCGCCCTTACACAACCCAACTCAAGCGGTTTGCAAGCGAGGTGCGGCCCGTGGTGCATCACATGGAGCATGCCTTGGCTGCGATCTATACTGGGCTTTTAAGTAGCCAGTGAGAAAACAGTATAAACGTGTATTCCATAATGGTTCCTGAACAAAAAAGTATTAAAGCAGTACAAGGAACCCTGAACAAGGCCTATACAGCAGTTTTCGGCGTTTAGGGCTCAGGATTTATGGTGCAGAGTGTAAAGCTCGGAGCGTATGCCGGGTAACCCGTATCCCTCCCGGTGGGGTTGCTGACGGGCGGGGTTGCTGACGGGCGGAGGGGCGGACCCGACCAGCAGGCGGAGGTTGGGCGAGTAGCTGATGGGCGTAGGTTGCTGAGGTGTGGAGGGTTGGTAGCTGACGGGCGGAGGTTGCTGACGCGCCGAGGGTGGGTAGCTGACGGGCGGAGGTTGCTGACGCGCGGACGGGTAGCTGACGAGCGGAGGTTGCTGACGGGCGGAGGTTGCTGACGCGCGGAGGGTGGGTAGCTGACGGGTGGAGGTTGCTGACGGGCGGAGGGTGGGTAGCTGACGGGCGGAGGTTGGACGGAAACCTCTAACCTCTTACCCGTGGGTACCTGACACGGGCGGAAACCTCCAACATCTAACCCGTGGCCCGTGGGTAGCTGACGGAGATAGATAGTATCTGACGGGCGGAAACCTTTAACCCCTAACCCGTGGGTACCTGACGAAGATAGATAGTATCTGACGGGCGGAAACCTCTAACCTCTAACTCGTGGGTATCTGACGGAGATAGATAGTATCTGACGCGCGGAAACCTCTAACTTCTAACTCGTGGGTATCTGACGGAGATAGATAGTATCTGACGCGCGGCAACCTCTAACCTCTAACCAGCAGGTAACCGACGGGGGTTAGAGTGAGAGGTTAGGTGAGGTACATGATGATAAAGCTGACGTGTTTTCGGGTTTGCATCGAAATTATCTTTCCGGGCATCAGTATCATGATTTTCCATTTTTCCGGCTCCTACTTTAGAATTGTCCGGGAGCAAACTCGGCACATAGAGAGATTTTCGCACAAAGATCTCATGGGCGGCGGGGGGGATCTTGTTCATGGGTCCGCGTCTCGCTCGCACGACGATAAGACGTGAGATCTTTATGTCATCTACACAACTCGCCAGCAAGAGGATTGGCCAGATCTTTGTGCGGTCACGGTCATGGTGAAATCAGAGCTATTGACATATATATATATATATATATATATATACACATATATATATATATATATGCAAATATGTATAAGTAAGAGTTCGAGGCCGTGACTGCGCATGGACTTACGAGCAGTGCTTGGTTGGACAGCCCGAGCTGTTTCCAGCTCACTAAGGCATGCCGAACAAAGTGGAAGCCATCGATTCTCTGATGTTTACGTGTCGTGTTGAGGCTTGAGTTTTGGGTTTGGGGTTGGAGGGCAGTGCTGTGCCAGCATCTTACTTCGACAGTGAGACCGCAGCCCCAACACTTCGGCCCTTAAAGCCCCGAAAAACGCACCCTCTCATAGCGAAGCGGCTGCCGCCCACAGGGTTTTGCTGGCCGCCTGTCCAACCATCGGCTTGGGACGGGTTGGGGTTTGGTCTTGTGCGAGGTCATGCGAACGATCGCTTTTAGGCTTCAGTGGCGCATCTCGAACTTGCACCCCTAAATTCTTCAGAGAGGGATCTTTTCGTTCTTTTGGTCCTAGAGAGTGGGTACCGGGGTAGCTTGTATTTACGAAGTATTTGGCGAGCAGGCAGCTGAACTTCTGGGGCTTGTGGATTGAAGAACGAGCGTTTCAGGAATCATGCAGAGCCGCCTTCCGTGAAAGGTTCAAACATAAAAGCCAAAGAACCCTCTGCTAAAAAAGGCCTCCGTGAAAGATTGTTAGCTGAAGCTAGGATTCATCAGAACTCAGAGCTTTGGGGTGGCGCGTTTTGCATCCTGCATTGCTGAACGAGTCACTAGCCAGGGCATTCGACAAGTCTGAGAAGTAGGGTTCGGGGGAAGGCTTGAGATTAGCGCTCCGAGTTCAGAGTTTGGGGTTCGGGGGCATGGCAATTTCAAAGGAGAAGACGTAGAAGTCCAACTCCATCTGTCGTGGGATAACCAGGTAGCTAGGTTGTGGCGGCGCAGAAGCGCAGTTCTGGTTCGGCTTGTAGGGAGGTAGGGGCTGCAAGGTGTCAGAGATTGAACCCGGATTTAAGGTGTAGGATTGTGGATTAGAGGCAGCTCTCTTCAGGAAGGATGAAGGCCCCAAACGCCAACTCAAGCTCGCTGCGCGGAACACTGGCTATGCACGGAGGATTCTCTTTTCAATGTCTAGTAATCATCCCTCAATGAGGAGCATTTATTCATGGGATATTCCCGGCCACGAAATCCTGAAGTTTCAACGTTAAGAAATAGCCCGAAGCTTTTGCAAAGCCAAACCGCGAAAGCCCTGAACCTTCAACTATAAGGATTAATACTATAAGGGGATCTATAGTTGGGCTTTATAATATAGGGGCCCAAATGGTTACCCATACTAAGCACGATGGAAGGACGGCCTGCTCCCGTTCCGGCTGCGAGGCTGGGCGCAAGAACGGCGTCGCTGTTCACCTGTCCAAGCCGTGCCTTTACGGCTTAGGACAAAGCTTATGATGGTCGAGCTTCTCAAGGAGAACTCCTGCATGAACTCCTGCATGGTTTACGTGCCACCGGTCTCTTAGGTTCCGCTGAGACTGAAACCCTCCTCGCCTGTTGAAACGCTTGCACCCTCGTCCCAAGGCCCTACACGGTCTTAGTTTCTCTATCCCAAACTAGCTTTGATATCTTTGCCAGCAGGAGCGATACATTGAGGTCTGTAAAGTGCATTCTAGTAAACACTTCTAGTTCCGACATATGCTCTCTGTGATATTTCCTTCAAGCCCTATTCTGATTGTTTACGGACTCCATGTTGCACCTTTCAAACCCATTCTAAAGATTCTAAAGGCCATCAGTTAGCTCTACAAATGCCTGTCGTTCCCGTCTTCCCTTTTGGAACCCTTGTGGAATCTCCTAAAGTTTAAACGCCAATTCTAAAAATCAAGGCCCCCTTTCCTTTGGTCGCCTCCTGCGTTCGGCTCAGAGCCGCGAGAGCCTCCGCCGTAAGGGACGGAAAGGGCGCCACAGGTCCTTACAAGCATGGACAAATTCAATGGTTTCAGAGCATGTCAAACGGCTTGATTCTTTTCGGAAAGGGGTTTACAGGGTGCAATATGGGGGCATTCATGATTAAACCGAATGAAAGATTCATAGGAGTCTCACCGGTGAAATATATGCACCTTAACACAGAGAACAGGTTTTTGGGCTGTATCATAATATAAACCTATGAGGACCAGCAGGGGATATCATGACTATTGTTGCTAGTACTGATAGCAATAGTACTGATCTTACTAATGTTCTTCGTCTCCTGGTGATAACTGCTATTCTTTATTCAAGCCTCGGTGTTTCAAAGGAACGTGCAGAAATCAGGGTGTAAGGCATGGAGTTTGAGACATGGCTTGAAGTCTTGAAATTGTCGAGAGTTTCCTAGACATTTTGGAGGAAGTCTTGGCAGAGGTGAGACCATCGAGCTCCATACCTCCTAAGCCCCGAAGTTCTATGGCCGCGGACCTGCAGCAAGCTAAACAAAAACGACCAATGCGGAGCTCGGATCATATCATGTCTGGAACCAGCACAGCATGAGGTCGAATAGCACATCTATCGTGTCCAGGGTTTTGTAAGGCTTGTAAGTCCTCGAGCTTAGGAAGTAGGTCCTAAGATTGAACGTCGGGTTCAGGGCTTCAAGTCTCAAGTTTGGTTGGAGGGTTTAGAGTATGGGGTTTGAGGGTTCCGGGCCACATGAAATGCCTTCGGTGACTTTAGCGGCGGCGGCCCCTGACGCCCTGAACCCCAACTGATTACGTAAACAACTTTTGACCCAAGATGAAGCCCTGAGCGCACAGTCTTAGATGCCTTCAAAAATCAACGCCGCGAACCCTGAAAAAGCCCGACAAACCCGAACCTGGACCAGTCAAAGCCCGGAAGCCTTAGCCCTCTAAGTTCGGTACTGCCCCCATACAGTAACAGTCTATAATAGGGCTGCGCTTAAGGTCCTACTATATCTGTATTATCAATATTATCCAACTGTTAGCAAACCCTAAACCCTAAACTTTAACCCAACCTCCAAGTCACACCCAGCACATAACCAACTTTCGACACAAGAAAAAACTTCAGAGCCCCTGCCGAGCTTTCACTGCTAAGACCATTCTTGCAAACCTGAAACACCGGAGAGACCCTAAGGCCGAAAACAAGTCCCCTAAACCCTATGTCCCAGACTCTCAACCCTAACCCCTAAGCCCAGGACTTGTGTTAAACTGAAACTGAAACCCTTTTCGGCACGGGCTTTGGGTTTATGCCAGCAAGCTGCACTCTCAAGGTCTTCAACCGAACCCTCAACCCTAAGCCCCAAACCCTAAACCCGACAGCCTCAACCCTAAACCCTAAACCCCAGAGTCGAAACCCTAAATCCCAGAGTCGAAACCCTAAACCCTAAACCCCAGAGTCGAAACCCTAAACCCTAAACCCCAGAGTCGAAACCCTAAACCCCAAACCCCAGAGTCGAAACCCTAAACCCCAGAGTCGAAACCCTAAACCCTGCACCCCAGAGTCGAAACCCTAAATCCCAGAGTCGAAACCCTAAACCCTAAACCCCAGAGTCGGAACCCTAAACCCCGGAGTCGAAACCCTAAACCCTAAACCCCAGAGTCGGAACCCTAAACCCCGGAGTCGAAACCCTAAACCCTGCACCCCAGAGTCGAAACCCTAAATCCCAGAGTCGAAACCCTAAACCCTAAACCCCAGAGTCGGAACCCTAAACCCCGGAGTCGAAACCCTAAACCCTGCACCCCAGAGTCGAAACCCTAAACCCCCATACTTCAGACAGGCACCTGGTTCGGTCGCTGGCGCAGGGGGCTCGTGCAATCCGAAGAAGGCGAGGTCAGCCATGATGTCCTATTCTATTAGGGCCCTATTATATTCCTATTATACCAGTATTACAGGCTGGGGGCCCCTTCTAACCTATTCTTCATGTGGTTGTTTTCTAATCTTTTTCTATGCGTAATAATAATGTTGTCATTCTTTCTAATTAGTTCTTAATGTTTTTGTGTTCAAAACATTTCGTCTATGCTAAATATTATTGGCTTTGTTGTCGTTGCTACACTAACTAATTACTACTAGTGTTAAGATTATGATTTTTCCGACGATTAATGACAGTACGACTCTTGTGCTTCAAAATTATTGCTGTAATAGTTACATTTGTTGTGGTTTTTACTCTTGATACGTATTATTGCTATTACTATTATGAATACTCGTTGTTGTTGTTACACACTGCTCCATGATAATTATCGACGGTGTTCTTTACAGTTTTCTGCTTGTTATTATCTGCAGAGTGTGGCATTGCTCTGTTGGCTGTTGCTTGTTGTGCTTTGGGGTTCTTTGTTTGAAAGGATTTCTTATTCTGATTTGGGGTCATGCGCACAGGATTCTAAGACTCAGGCTCTCTGTTTTGAAGTTCATCCGATAGGCCGCCACACAGACTTGCTCCGAAATACACTTGATGCATAGAGGTAGAGCAGAAGTCATGAGATTGTTGAGTTGACAACTGTTCTTCGCAGCGTGGGGCTGTCGCCTTCCACTTGGTGCTGGGCGTTGAGCTTCGATTTTGAGGGCTGACCCTCGTAAGGACTCAAAGCCTTGCAGTTCGGTCTCCAAGACAAAACTCCCCAGCACCGGAGCCTCTCAGCCTTGGATGCAAACACCCTAGCCCTAAACAGCAAAACCCTGAAGCCGTACGCAAAGCATCCTGAAACGAAACCCCTGCATCGCGAGATACTGGCCTAGCGCACAAGCCTTTCGCATTAAAATAGGGTGTTGGGGCATATGATGCTGCAACCAAACTGAGCAATTCCGGCACCTAGACTAGAGGTGCGGGTCTCCAAGCTGCCAGGAGGCCTGCATGCTTCGGGGCACAGGTCGTGGGTTCCAGGAACCTCCAAAAGCCAAGCCCAAGATTCAGGATTTAGGGCTTGGGACTTACCTGGCCGATTGGGATTGCAGGCGCCGCTACAGCAGCAGGGCTTAACAGGAGTCGTTCTCAGGGTTTATGCTCTCGCAACTCGTCCTAGGGTGCAGGGTTTCAGGTTTGAAGGCATTGAGGGTTGATGATTTGGGTTTACGGCTGCTAAGTCCCTGCACCCCGATGCTCAGGAAAGGCCGAAGAAAAAGTAGAAGTTCAAGTTGGCCAAGCCGAAACGGTTTAAGACGCAGAGTGGTGTAGAGTAGAGTAGAGTGGAGTAAAACATGGAGCATTCTCGAAGACAGGATGCCACCAGGCATGACTGGCTGCGCAGCTGGATGCATCGCATCCGACAAGATTATTCACCGTGACCAAAAGGTTTCGAGCAGAGTCCCTACAGACCGAACCCGTGAAAAATTAATCAAAAACAGTGAACAAAGGGACCTGTGAAGAGATGAACTATAGTGCTTGACTCTTATACACACGATACTGTTAGTTTGGGGTTGTGCAAACAGGCCGCTAAGAACACGAGTAGTGCCGCCACTAGTCGTAATTCATATGACAAGAAAAGAACTGAGAACTGCAACGCTAGTCGCAGTTGGTGTGATGACTCTCGGAAATGCAATCCATTAAGCTGATGGACTGACAGAATAAGGACCGAATAAGTTGAACAAGTAGCCCATCCATGAGCGCGATCGCGAGCAGTTCGAATTCCAGGATGCAGTGTTGATCTCACCTGAGTCATGTCGACGCAGGCTAGACCGCTAGACCTGCTTTATAGAATTGTCCCCCTAACATGGAGCAGTGAGAAATAAACAACCGAAACTGACGCAGAAAAGCCGCTACGTACTCTTCCCGCCAAGCTCGCCGAAATAGCATTCTCCAGATTTCGGTCCGGCGTGTCAGGGGAAGTACATTGCTATAGGGGTCCAGAGCTACAGAAGCAAGAACAATAGCCGTGTGAAGAACTTGAAAGAATCCTAATGTCCGAACCCTAGATAATCCAGGGTGGCCCCTGAACTGAAGCCGAAGAGCCCATGTGCCATCCCGGCAGAAGCGTTTTAAGCATTTTAGGTCAAGTTTATGAGCACACAGAGACTGATTTGGCATGTGTTGAAGCCCGTTTAAGCCGTAAGAAGTCTTGAATCACCCAAACTCCTAAACGCTAAAACCCTAAGCCGCAAACCCTGCCTGTACCCTAAACCCGAAATCCAGAACACAAGCCCCACCACGCTTATGCCTTAAGAAAGCCCGTACGCCCTGGCCCTTAACCCTAAATAAACCCCATGTCCTGTAAACCCTGCAAGAACCCTAAGCCGAGCCGAGCTTCAAAGGTTGATGGGATCGTTCTCTGCAAGGGAGCCCCTAGAGCTAGACGCCACCTCACGGGCTGCGATCTTGATTCGAGGCCCCTGTCTCATACTGTGTATGTATGTATGTAGGTATGTACATTGTATATGTATGTGTATATATATATACACACACACAAATGTATATATGCATGTATGTATGTATACTTACATATATATATATACACACAGACATAACGATAAAACACAACATGTGCGCATACGTATAAACTTACTTGTTCATTAAAGTGTGACAGATAGAGAAGACAGAGAAGTAGATAGGTGGATAAACAGATAAATAGATATATAGCTAGACAGATAGAAAGACAGAAGCAACTGCACTAGCATTCTGGGTTGCTGATTTTTTTGTCTAAGGGAGGCGGAGCTGTCGGCTCAGGGTGTGGATCGTGTGGATCCGGCCCACGCAATTTAAATATACACGCAAAGACATATATGACATATGTACATATATATGTATATATACATACATATGTGGTGTATGTATGAATACATGGTTTCTAAGATTTCTATATTTATATGTACTTACGTATATATACTGATATTGATATTGATATATATATATATGTGATACACACATACACACACACACATATATCTATATATATATATATATATATATATATATATATACACACACGCAGAAATGTGGGTCTGAATTCTCGGACGGCGGTTCTGGGATGGTCTACAATAAAAACATATGATGGGAACCACATTTACTCAAGACCCTGCATGCCACGACGATAACCTCTAGAACCGTCCGAACCCCTGACAAAATGTGAATAACGGATGACTACTTTCACCCCGAACCCTACATTGGACATAGTATCCCCTTCGAACCTCTCATGCGAAGCTCGAAAAGCGGCGAAAATCCAGTAAGCCTCAATCCGAAACGGTTGAAGTAAGCACAACCCGAAAGCCTGAACCGTACGGTTTCGGTTCCAGGCAAGTGACCCCTTGGGATTCCTATGCGGGAAGCTTCCTTCCTTTTCTAAGGGCTCCTTTACGGGGTTCCTTGCAATGCCTCGGCATCCCGGGCCATCTGCAAAAGCTGCGGCTGCTGGGATCCCCAGGAAGCCTTTCGCGAAGCTCTGGGCAAAAGTTTTAACAAGGGTTTGCAAGGTTTCAGGATTTCGAAACACACACTCGCACAAGGCAGGCATGGATTTGGTGCATATTGCTCGCAGGTTGGCCCCATGCTCCCATGCCATGTGCGACCGATTCAGCAAAGCGACGGTGTTGATCTCGCAGAAATTGTAGGCACAGGCCTGAGTCATTGAACATTGGCAAATCCTCTCCGAATCGCTAGACGAATGTTTGCGGGATTCAGGACTGCGCTTCGCGACTGGGCTTGCAACACCCCTTGACCACAAAAGCCCGGCTCCAGATCGATTGAGAGCCCGGCCTCGCCCCCTACAAGTCCGCCGCCTGATCGCCGGCTGCCTGCATTGGGCTTGCTGTTTGGGGTCTCGGCGTGCCTGGTAAATTCGTAGCGTCCTCAAGTGGTTGTTGAGGAATCCCAACCCTCCAAGCTCCGAATCTCAAAGGTACCTTCGGTTCGGACTTAGAGCTTGAGTTGAGGGCTCCTGCATCTGTTGCTCTTAGAAGCCTTCGGCAGGACCCGCCACCGAGCTCTGTGGACTTGCTCGGCTGTCACCTGAGCCACTAAGAGCAAGTGGATACAAACGTTGAGGAGCGACACCAGACGTGCACTGATCAAGGCGTCTTTTGCAATGAAAAAATTGTCAATACCCTTGTTTTCACTCTCACCGTTTGGCTGATGTTATTACTGGCTCTTCGTTTCAAGGTTTCGGCTGCATGAGTCCGCAGGAGGCAGTGCATCCGAAATCTATACGGCATGCGAGAGGAAGAAATTTCAAGCCAGCACAGACATGGCCGATCATGGGCAAGGTTTTGGAGTTGAAATCCGGAATGGAATAACAGATGTGACAAAGAGCTCTGTGGTACTGTGCAGGAGTAAGCATCTGCTGTCCAGGGCGACACGAACGGGCATTGCAGCGCTGGGAGCTGAAGTCTTTGTCCCTCTCTTCCACAGGGCTTGAAGGGCTGGTTAGGCCCCCCGGCCTCATGTCCCTCTCTCTCTCTCTCTCCCTCTCGTGTTGCCTGCTATAAACCATATCAGTCGCCCATATCACGACTACAAAGCACACATCTGGAGGAGGCTTTCAATGGCAGGGTGCTTGTTACAACAGCTCCCGGAAAAGGAACCCCCTCGCCTCGTTTCCTACAGAATCAATGAACGCGATGGGTGTGTTCGGACATCGGATCGACAACAATCAGGAAGCACAAGTTTACTCACTGTATCTTACACACAGCATAACAAGGGCTCCAAGGGAACGTTGGGCAAACTACCTTACGACCGGAAGGAAAAAAGGCTAACCCTGCCAGCTCTGAAGCCCTTGTTTTGCATCAGGACTTGTGCAATCGCCTGAAAACATGGACGGAAGGTCAGCGCTCCTGTCTGAAGCCCTAAACCCCTTTTTGCTGCAGGATTGCCCTGAACCCCTGGGGGTTTGGGGTTTAGGGTTTTTTGACACTCACTCTCGGACTAGCCTGGCGTTTAGGGTTCAGGGGTTTAGAGTTTAGGGTTTAGGGGTCATATAAGATCCTGAACGCCAAGCGAGAGGAAGGTTTGCTTTGTATATGGCTCAGCGGTCTGGGTTCACCTGCTCGTGTTGAACTTCTTCGGGCCGACTGTAGATGATGTAGGGGTCTTAACAGTTAGACTAGGGTTTAGGAGCCCATTATACTTTAGTTATAATGAGGAACCCCCAAAATAGTATTGGCAATCATTAAACCCTACGCTAGCTCGCGGGGTATCGCCATCAAGCCTTGAGCCTCTTCGGATTTTGAGGACACCTGAACCCTAAGCCGAAGAGCGTGTTGTAAAGTGCAAGCCTGACCCTCGGATGTGTATAGAGGAGCCGCTAGGAACTAGAAGAGTCTGTCCACAGAGGGTTGCTCAGGTTCCAAACAGAGATCAGATGAGGTTAGAGCACATTTCAAGAATTGACCCCCGTGCTATAGTTGCCGCCAGCTCGCCAGGTGATGAGCTACGCGCCGATGAAACGACCTCCCGCGACATGCATATCTTTTTTCGCAGAATTCGTAAAGTAAGACTCCGGTTTGGAACCGTGATTCGGGGAGAGTATGTATACTGAGTACTGCATTGGAGGTTCATGGAATCCCACAGCTCGATGCGGCGCGTTGAACGGACTTGGAGTCTAGACCGTATGTGTCCGGAGCACTCATGCCTCCGCCTCCTTCTGATCCATGGTGGCTTCCTGTGCAAAGCTGAAGTGCATTTGTGCGCTCCGACTCTGCTCGCTGGCTTGTGGTTCCCAGTGGTTTTTGGCAGCACAATCGGTTTCAGTTTCAGGATTCCAGGGTCGGGGTAGGATACCGAAATCTTGAAGATCGACTCCAAACACCGACAAAAAACTATGCGTATTAATATGCATGCATACATGCATCCATCTGCATACGTATATACCTACATAACTACATACATACATACATACATACAGACAGACAGACATACGTACAAACATGCATGCATTTTGGCACTCGTGCTCGAAAAACTCAGGCGAGGTTTCCGACACCACCGACAACATCTCCAAGGTCCGGAAACATACATGCATGCATACCTACATGCATACATAGATACATGATTACACACATAGATGAACAACTGCACACAATACACCTACGTGGAGAGGGGAAGCATGTGAACGCATGTTAGTCGTGCCATGTGCTCGCGCGAAGCTGAGAAGCAATCCATCTGGATCTTGCTTTTCGTAGTATCGTGACTGTATACACACACGCGCACACACACACACACACACACACACGGAGGCCTACATCTACTCGAACCTATATCCCCAACCGGCAATTTGGCCTCCGAGACCACGGCAGCAGATCGCGCCGAGCCACTGGAGGTGCGGCTAAAGAGCTCCTGGTCGCCCGAAAACGCAGACTCCACACAAGCTTTTATCAGGCTCATCCGGCGATTATTTGAATGGAAGGAAAAAAGCTTTCCTGATGATTGCTTAAAAGCATAGTGGAGCTTATATATACAAAATAGAGAGCGGACTGGGTGATTTGCACAGAAGCCTGCTTCATCAGCTTCCGCGGTCGTGTGCTCTCGCCAAAGGTGCAGCGTGAGATACTAAAGAGTTCGCCCCTGAACGCAAGCTTGACCTTAAACCAAATTACCCTGAGCTGGCGCCTGAGCTGCTTGCCCGCGCTCCTGCAAGGGGCCGAGCAGGACTGCGACGGCTTTTGAGGGTCTTCAATGTCGAAGGAAGCATGTTACTGAGCTGTAAGGATGTTGCTGGCAAGAAGAAAACTAAAACTAATTGCGGCGCTACAGCAATCCAAAGCTCGCAATGGGTTGAGTTGATGACTGTGGCCTCTGCACAGGACATGGGAATCGGCGCATATCACTCGGAGAACCCAAGCTGCACAAAACACAGGAACGGATTTGGGTATTCCCGACCAAGGATGTGGATACTTTCCTAATATCTTGAAGACCCCGAATTCCAAGGGCCTGACCCAGAAGTGTACTTCTACCTGAAAGCCTGTAAACTGCAGACTGCTGATGAACCAAATCCTGCAATACCCGAACAATACTTGAAACCTACTTATTTACTTATTCTGGCATGTATTCTGGTATGGACAATGACAGTGACGTATTTCCTCATCATCAGTGTCTCAGGGTCTTGCGCTGAGAGGCTTTGCACCTACACCCAAACCCGGGAGCGGTAAAATTGGGGAAATTAGGGCTGTTGTAGGATGAAGACACTTTAGGCTTCCTATGTTGCAAGCAGCTAAATTCTTGATTGATTAGTGTCTGCAGCACAGTCCTCGTCAACCGCCTCCATGTCGGGATCGACCTCGCGAATCTTTCGACCGCTTGGGGGGTTTAGCCTTTGTAAGAACAGTGCTTAAAGGCTTAAGTCTAGGCCTCTTCGGGCCTTGTGTACGAACACATAACCTTCGGAAAGCGAGGGGCGCAACAAGTCCTTGACTGAAGCTGAAGGCTTGGGCTAGGGTTTAAGAAGCTTCGGGTTGATGCTTGAGGGCTTCGGGTTTGCACTCGCGCGCGGATTCAGCCAGAAGGCTTGACATTTCCCTGGCCGGATTTCAATCTTTAGTACCAGTCAACATGCTTGCGCCTCGAGCATTTCCAGCACAAGCTCCTCCTTCCACTCGCACGCAGGCTCATCTTCAGCCTTCAGAACAAAAAGTGCCAAAGCAGGAGCACACGAGTCGGTTGCGAGTCCTGAAGCAGTTGATACGTCCTGAAACTTCGGCTTGACGTCGGTCTGTAACGGATCGCCGGATTCCCAGACTGCAACGACACAAGCCGAATGGACTAAGTACAGGTGTTCATGATCGGTAAACTAATCTGCCCAACCCTCGGTGGTAAACACTCATGTAACAGAAACCCGAAAACCCGACCGATCCCTCAACATCAACTGTAATAGTGCAGAAACGAAAACAGGAGCCTGAGCAAGCAGATGCAGTGATGCACTTGTCGGTGGTTTTTCGGTCTCATGATAGTCATGAAAGAACTGCAATTCATGATTTCTAAGGCACAGTATCAGGCATTACTCATAGGCTAAAGCGATGCATCCGGGAGGCAGCGGCCGACTCTCTACCGGAAGCATGCGGCGCTTTGGGCGCCGATCCTTAGCCCAACATCGGATGCGTTCGTTCACCATACTCCGGAACCCGTAACAAAAAAAAATCCTGAAAGTTGAGCCCGAGGGACTCAAAACCCCATAAGTCTGAACCTTGAACAGTCGAAGCGAAGGCGGAGACCAGAAGCCCTAAACCCGAAAAGGCCCTGAGTTTGAAAGGTTGTGCCTCACTCCGAACCCTAAAAGGCAATGAGCCTAACTTTCAGGATCTCACATTGCCAATGGGAGTGCTCACGAAAACTTCGCTTGGCCATCCTCGACCGTCTCACCCCAAATAAACGTAGGGCGAAGTCTGCGAATCAAAGGTTTAGGTCTTAGGCGTCTCGTTGTTCAGAGCATGCGTTGCAGATTATAGGGCTATACGAGGCCTGTACCCTAAACCCTACACCCTATTAACATCTATTAACCTTAAACTCAAAGGAACTATAGGACTGAAAAACCTTCGGCAAAGGGCTGGTAACGGCTGGTAAACCAAAACCTCTCTCGTAAGGCACAGCCCACACTCCACACGTTGCTTTAGTCTAAGTTGATAATTAGAATTGGGTTTTGGTGCCCATGATCCTATACTGAGAATAAGGAGCCACCAAACTAATATACGTAATAACCAAGCACCCCCTATGAGTTTAAGGTTCAAGTTGCAGCGATGGTTTCATGCGCCCTAAGTCCCTAACACTTACTGGACATCCTCAGTCGCTAAGCCGTATAAACATTGAACCTTACGACCGCCCATACGATGATATAGCACTGCCTACAATGATATAGACATAAGGTCAAGAGGCGCACAGAGATACAGTACATGTAGCTGTGCTACCTCTCATCCTTGCCCCGGGATCAGAAAGCAGAAGTGCGTGCATCGCAAGTACTGAATAGCAGATTCCCCAAAAATTAGAGCATAAGATGCCCCAAGCACCACATTCTAGCGAGAAGCGTGCTTTCGCTTCAGCCACTTTTCTTCGGGCTCTTTCCTGGGGAAAGGTCGGTAAACACAGATCCCCCGGAGTCGAGAAGACTTCTCCAGTGTTGCAGTACCATGTGCTTGAGATTGTCTCTGGGGTTTAAGTCGAACAGTAGGGTTTTGGGGTGGGCTTCTGGGGTCGGTTAGGCATTGTGCAACGCTTCTGATAGTTTAACCCAGCTTCTTCCAAATCGGCCGCCTCTTACGAACAACTGCAAACCCAATTACGTCGATGTCTCAGAACTTCTAAAGCCCTATAGGCCGTCATGACCCCTTCGCCAAACATCGGGGCTGTCCAAGCTCATGGTGCCTTTGTGGATCTCTTCTTGAAGGAGAGCTCCGGTTACATGTGGCTTATATGAACGCTGAAAACAAAGCTGGATTCGAAGCAAGACCACAAACAAACCCAAAGCCCTTGACTACTGAACCTCGAATAGGCACGTAGCAACCTGGAACCCTGAACTCCAAAATTATGGAGGGCCAAAAGGCTCTAGGGTTTTCCGGCTCCTACTTCGCAAGGACTATGCGCAAGGCTTGCTTGTTCAGGCTTAGGCTTACGGACCCCATAATGCAGCTTTTCATGATACAGGTCTGGGATATTGTGCATGTATGTGCTTAGCAGTACGAAGTCTGCCAAGTTGGAACCGAGACTGCTGAACCTCGACAGGCAGCCCAGACCCCAAACCCCTTAACATAGGGCCTTACTAATTAGAATAGGGTCCTGGGGCCCGTTATACTACAATTATTAACATAATAATCTAATGCCAGTTGTAGCCCGGCCTTCTGCCGCTTTCGACGTCCTGGGCCCTTCGGTGCCGATGTGCTACCTTCGGAATTTGTTCAGGCTGTTAAGGGCATGGGGGCTCTGACTTCTGGTTGCAGCTTCGGGATTGGAGTTCATGGTTTAGGGCTTGGGAGGGCTTCACTGGTCCATCTAGCTACTTCGCGTACAGCCGTGATCGAAAAACCATGTAAAGTCCGCACTCTATGTGTGCATATGAAATTAGGTATGCCTGTATATACATATACATATATATATATATAAATATACATATATGTATGCCTGTATACACAGATTCCTGTTGACCTCTCATGTATCTGCCTTTTTGCCTTCACCCATCACCTCTCGATTGGCTTTCTCTGCCCCCGCGCCTGCATCGGCAGGAGGGACTGCCTGGCAAAGCAGACGGACATGTACTTAAACTTTGACTGAGCCGCTCGCTTCAAGTATAGGAATACGAAGACTGTGTAAGTAGCCCAGGACTGCTAGCTCTTACCGATGAATGGACATTGTCCGGCATTGCTCCAAGTACCCTAGGCCCTAGACTCTTCAACACAGGGGCCTTAGTGATTAGACTTGGGTTTCGGGGTATATTTTACCATGATTGTAACAAGGAGCCCCAAACATGGTATTCTGTATTAATCTATATATGCCCTCGGTATTATGAAATCAAGGCCAGATGATGTGCGGAGGGCCTCTACCTCGTCAGCGGCCTCCCGCGAGCTCCGTGGGCTGTCTAGAAGGAGCCACGCCTGAAGTCTTCTTTTCACAACCCACAATGCCACAAACCCTAGCCCAAAAGCCCTATAAACCTTAGGCCGTAGGCCCTGCACCCTTGAATGCGAAACCCTGGCCCTGGATCGCTTGGGAGGAACTCGTTTCCTTGACCTTGTGCATTGGGTCGAAAGGTTAGGTTGGCCGTGATGGCTTCACCCCCAACCCCAGATTTGGGCGATTCTCAGGCCCTAACTGTGATTTGCGAAGCTATTTCACTGACGCTTGACGGATCTGTGAATTTCCTCTGGGGCTTCCTCCGTCAACTGGGAAGGCCCCGACGCCCATGAGAAGCCCTGAACCTTGCAAGAAGCTGCACTCTGCATAAGATCTCATCGACATGCTTTCATGGAGACTCCACGGTGACATGAATCTGCCAAGGAGCAACTTGCTCCATGAAACGCCCAGCCTCTCCAAGCACCAACACGAAGCATCCAGGGTTTTCAGTGTGCTTCACAGTGTGCAGAATTTAGGCAGCGACTTCAGGTTATGGCTCAGGTTTAGAGCTTCGGCTTCAGGGTTTCGATGTTGAAGTTCAGCGTGAAGAGTATTCACGGTGGTGGTACCAGGGATCACATTCAGCAGACTGCCGTCTTGCCTAGCATTCGACCGGCGCAAACACACGGCAACATCAGCTTGCAAAGTCTGCACGCCCACAAAACTAAACTGAGATATGAACAAGAAGAACAAAGCGGAAACCTAGAACCTTCGCACCACAACCCACATGATGCATGCTTTCCCCTTCTACTCGAAAGCCGTTGACCCCCATTGCCTGTGCAGACAACTGGGCCCAGCTGGATGCTCGAGGTCTGAAAAGCTCCTTGGTAGCATATTCGCGAGCTTGCTGGGGACTTATACGATGTGCGGAGTCCTCAGACTTGCCCGTGAGGTTTTCAAGCTACCTCCAAAGACTACAACACTCAACATCCTAAACTCGAGCGCATAAGAGACAGGGTCTAGATCTGTATAGGCTTAAGGGCCACGGTCTGCACAAACCCTCAGAGTTTGTTGGCACTGTACAAAGCTGGCAGAGCAGGTGGGACCTGGCAATACACACAAGCCCCTGTGGCGAAACAGCAGTTAAAGAAGTGCACCGAAGGCCACCGGACTGCCGAGAGTTCTGGGCTTTAGAGTCTTCGTTGAAAGCCCCGAAGCATCATTAAACTCGTACGAATTACAAATACTATAATATACTATAACAACATACGATAAGTACTACTGCCATTATACCCTCAAACTCACAAACGCAAACCCAGCGGCTGCGAGCTGCTCCGGCGGCAGGCGCCGGCGCCCAGAGCGAGCAGGCTCGGCCAAGAAGTCGGGAAGCACCTGGGGAAAGCACGAAACCTCAAATGTCAGGGGCTCTATTCCGAAAGTGTAATAAGATACTATATACAGACATGGAGGCAGTACGACAAAACAGCACCGTACAGTCTGGTCAAGTGTACCAGAGTGAAGAAAGGCAAAGTATAGCATAGCCTAGCCTAGTCTAGCACGGTATCGAAAAGAACAGCAGCTGCACGGCACGACATGGGGCTGCATAGCCGAGCATGGCATAGAAGACATACATTTGTGCATGCATATACAGACCTACAGACAAACATGCAGGCACACATGCACGTACATCCATCCATCCATCCATCCATCCATTCTTACTTACATACCTACTTACTTGCTTACATGCGCACGGACACACGTGCTTACTGTGATTCATGTATTGACGCATTCATTCATTCATTCATTCGGGCTAGCGTCACACACAGCGTAACACAGCACAGCATAACTTAACGTGGCAAAACAAAGCATAAGAGAACACAGCGTAGCGTAACATCTCGAAACACACAAGTATAGAATGTACCCAAATTTTTTGCTGCGACTGAACCATATCGCAACCGAAGCTTTGGCATGTAACGTAATGGCGGGAGAAATGTGACCCCAGAAAGTCCGCTTTGTCAGGATCACAAGTTTACCAACATGCGTTGAGGTTGACACTGAGTTCCTTCAGGGAACTTGGGTCAAGTTGCAAGAATAGGAAGACTCCGAATTCCGAACATCATAACCTCTCGTTGGTGTTACAGCCATGCAGCACGCAGGATTGGCATTGTTTCCTTCCAAAGAACGTCATGCCCTGTCCCGATATTCCTGTCAACACCCACATGAAACTCGATGAAAGCGTCATTTGCTAGTGTACTCAGATCTGAAAATCACCAAGGCCTTCTATTTGGTAAAATAAGGGCCTGACTAATTAGAATAGGGTATTGGGGTCCCATATACTGTAATTGTATTGGGCCCCTATATTAACTAACTTACTTCGGTCGAGGTTCACTTCGAACAGGGCCGGCTGCTTCGAAGAAGTCGGGCCTGCCCGGCTCACTGCTCCGTTTGAGGGATTAACGGGAAGTTTGAGAAATCAAGCTTTCTGGGATCAGTATTTAAGTTCTTCCTTGTGGTTGGAGGGCTTCTGTATAGGTCTTGGCACTTTGCATTTACATTCATGGTTTGGGTTTAGTCTAGGTGTGGGCAGAGTATGCTTTGGCAGAAATTTCCAATCTTTGCTTCAGAGTTTTTGAGCAGGCTGAAGAGTGCGGGGTTCAGGCCTCTGGTGCTTTATCTGAGCTTTCGACTAAGAGTGTAGGTAGGGGTTTGGTTGTCCTAGGCGCCATACGGATGATGCGTTGGATGTTGACATTGGCTTCTCGCACTTGCGGTCAGAATCTCTGAGGAACGCGATGCTTGAAGGTTTCGATGCGTACTTTCGCGCAGAGGGCTGGGGCCCATAGCTGGCCAATTCATGCCAGTTGAAAGGCATAGTTGCTTAGTTCATTAGTTAGTCACAGTTAGTCAGTCAGTCAGCCTGGTGGGTGGTTGTTGAAGTAAACCCCAATCACCAACTCTCTTCGAACCTCCAACCAAAAACCGGACGAATCGAAATGTGCAATTCTAAATGCCCAAGCTGGAACTGCTATGAGCACGGAGCCACAACGTCATGAAGTCGTCAAGACCACCAGACCACACTGGAACGTAGTGGACATAGAAAACAGGAGCCGTACAAAAAACACAAAAAGCAAACACGGTTTGGGCTCATGCCAGGGATTGGGCTTTTTTGTTTAGGGCTTAGATAGAAACCCTGCTACTCCACAAGGCATGCAGGAACCCTTCAAGAACCCTCACAGAACCGTCACAAAGCCCTCGAAGAACCTCTACACAGCTATCAAGGAGCCCGAAAAGAAGGCCCTCAGAAGGGTTAGAGATACCAGGAAACCCTCACAAGAAACGCAAAGAGTTGTCACACAAGCACTCTCAAGATTACCTTAACCCCTAAGCCCCTTTTTGAGCATGGGCTTGGATTGTGTGCCAAACGCTCCTCAACACTAGGGGCTGTTTTTTGCTGCAGGCTTGCTTGCAAGGACGCCTGGTAGTTTGTAGGGGCTGTTAAACCTTAAACCCCCGAACCCTAAACCCTCAAAATTCCTGAAAGGGTTTAAGCTGAAGGCAACCAGGTGGCGCAAGAGAGCTCCCCGGATCGAAAGCGACACCGCCCTCCTCAACCAGGGTGGAGAGAAGCGTCGTAACGTAGGGTTGAAGGCTTGGGGTTTCGGGAATATTGGACTCAGCAATTTGGTGTGTTTTAAAGTTTTAAGCATTTGAGTTTATCAGGTTAGGCGTGGAGGCGACAGGATGCAGAGATGTCCTTGAATGAGTTTTTGGCATTGGGTGCTTTTTCTAGCGTTCCAACAGCTCAAGGCTGCTGGGTTTTGCTTGGATGCTCCCATGGATACACCGATTACTCAGACCTCTATATGACGTGCCTATCGAACTTGATGGCTTGGCCTTGCCGTAAGTCTAGCTCTGATAGCATCAGCATAGCACTGAAAGAGCATGTTCGGCAACAGAGACGATCCCAGAACCATGGCTTTTTGGAAGCAGCAGCTTCAGGTTTCGCAAGAACATGGTACTTTCAGCTTTAGTGCAAGACTAGCGACTAGCGAACTGTCCCAGAGCCCCTCAGATCGCTCGAGATCAGCCGTAGGATCCACAATCTCGAAACGTGGAGTCTGCACACGGAACCATGCCACGAAGAAGCCAGCAGTGTCAAGTGCCGTGAACCCCCTTCCGAAGCTCCCCTTGAAATTTCGAGCCTCTGGGAAGCAGAGAGCGGTTGCCAAAGCGCATGAACTACTCCTGGCATGCTCAACCCTCGCCGATCCGTGAGACACTTTTGGGCTCGATGAATGATTAAGGCCGCAAGTGTTGGCAAGCAGAGACCACGAGGTGCTGCAATGGGCCGTTTCCATCTTTTCACAGAAGCGCTTGAGCTAGGACTGCAACCTCGAACAAACATTCCCTGGTGCCGCGGGAAATACCTAAACGAACATGCCACGAGGGTTGGCGATTTTGGAGTACTATGCGTGCCTTCGTACTTGGAAGGAGGCTCAGCGAGTTTATCGTATAGAAGGACTGTAACTCAAACCTGTGTACTGTCTTGACCTTGCAGTTGGTCTGTCGTCGTCGGCGCACTTCATACCAGCTCACACGTAGCAGATGGCCCGTCATCGTTGCAAAACAGCAGACTGCAACACAAAAAAACGAAATCAAAAGCAACGACAAGCAAAAACACCCACACCAACACACACAGGCACACACGGACGCTTACGTACATAACACGGGCATTGTCATGCACCCAAGCCTTCACTCACATCCCTCCTCAAATCAAGCGAAAGGGGTCGAACATCTCAACAGAATTCGGTTTGAGGCCGAAAACTGCCAAAATTCACATAGCCATGAGAACACCACTCATGGACCAGGTGACGAGCGAATTATTTAGGCTACACTTTGGGGCTTGAAGCAGCACCCTGCGGCCAAAATGCTGTGGGAGGAGGGCCGCCGGAGGCACCTCAGCCTGACGGACGAAGACTGGGCATACCAGTACTAAATTTACTAGGATTGTGTGGCAATGATCTCGTGATGGTGAACGGTGGTTGTGGCGATTGTGGCGACTTTACCCCCGAGAGCCTTAGTGTTTTGACGGTTACAGCGCTGGAAATGCTGCTACTGTTTGGGATGAGCGATGCGGCTGGTGATTGCCACTGTAAACTGTAGTGAAACTGATGATGCTGCACCTGATGCTGAAGTAGGGTTTGGGGTCCGGACGGGCTGCAGTGCCCTACAAGGAGTGCCTATTCCCAAAGGTTTGTACCTTGAAGGAGTTCCGGCTCACAGTCCAGAAACCCACCGCAGTCTGAAAGCAAACTGACGCCGCACAACCACAGCAAGAAGCCTGAACCAAACGCGAGCTCCTTCCACTCCTGTTCCAAGCCTTAAAGTCTCCGAAGAAGCCGTCCTTATACCCTTTTTGCAACTGGGCTTGGGGACTGGCCGTCCTTACCCCTTTGCAACTGGCTGGCAACGTCACGCGAGCACAGCTGACTCGCGCCGGGCTGTACTCGTGACAGCGCGTCCTTACCCTTTTGCAAAAGGACGCTAAACCTTCGACCCTAAGCCCTAAACCCTAAACCTAAACCCTAAGCCCTAAACCCTAAACCTTAAGCCTTCAAACCACTAAGCCGTCCTGAAGCCTAGATCAAGCTTCGCCTGCACAGCTGCCAATCGAAGCCCGGCCTCGTGACATGGGGCTTTTGTCGGGACTTTAGGGTTTTCCCCCTACTTTGCAAGGACGAAGCCCGCCTTGCAGAGTAGTTCAGGCAACAGATGTTAGAAGAATGAGCTTCAATTTCAAAGCTCACAGATTACAGAACCCGGTTCAAAGGCAAGCTTAGTGTTTAGGGTTAAGGGCTTAGTTTAGGGTTAAAAAGGTTTTGGCTTTTAGGGCTTAGGGTTCGGTCAAGGGTCTAGTTTAGGGTTTCGAACTTCAGGGTTGTCTCGACTCTCGCAACTGGCATAAGGCCAGTAGGGATCCTCACTTTAAAGGGTGTTTGACACGCACCCTCGCACGATCGGGGCATCTAGGGTTTTGGAGTTTTCCGCCCTCGCACGGCTGGGTGCTTTTGAAATTTGGGGCTCAGAGTTCGGGCTTGAGACAGTTTCGGATTTAGGTTCTGGGGTTTGAAGGTTCAGGAGTTTTGGTTGATTTCGATGGTGTTCTTGAAGTGGCATCGGTATATGTACATGCTTTCCGGATGTGGGGATGTATGGAGGCCTGGAAGGCAGGATTGTAAAGAGTGTTTAAGGGCCGCCAGGGTCTCTATGGCCTTGAAGGAGAACACCGTGAACCCTTAGCCCAGTTCAGACGATAAGCAGAGCTCCGTCGCGCAAACCAACTGCCCCACCGGGGTACCAGATTGACAGTCTTACCAATACCCAAAACCCTAAACGCTGGGTGGTTAGCAAGTCGCAAACAGTGATTCAAATTTCAGGCGATGCTTTCCGGCCCCACGCCTCCAAGTAGTCCAGACTCTCTGCCACTGCCGCGACCTACAGAACCCAAAAAGCAAGACGAAGTTGATTCATGGTCCAGTCATGGTTAGGTTCATTGGATCGCCTGGGAAACTGTATCAAGGGCTTAGGGTTTGAACGGTGTGGTTTCGGATGTTGGCCTGAGCACCTGTTTCTTGGGCATGGGTCAAGGCGAAAGAGATTTGAGGGTTCAGGGTTGCTGGATACATAAGACGAGCGACCCGTGCACTGCAACCTATGAATCAACATTCATCTCAGGCCCGGGCCAACCGAGGATCTGTAAAGCATGGGGCACCTCTTGCTTGCTCGCAATCAACAAACATGTGCACTCTTAAGTCTGGGCAGCATCTCATGGCTGCCGATGGTGAAAGCTATCCGAAGTTCTCCAACCGGCGACGGGGTGCCAAGATTGGATCGAAGTGGGGACTTCCACCCTCACCTAAAACCTGTGCGACCACATTCAGTCTCGTGTATGTGGCTGACTGACAAGGCGACAGCTCCTGGATCGAGCAGAAAGCAAGTTTCAAGACATGTTCGTGGCTGAGCCAGCCTCCGTCGTGGGCCTTGAACCAGGCTGCCTGGCAGGCACTGCTCAGACCCTCTTCCCGGTCCAATATTTCATGTGTTCAGCCGTCCGGCGTGAAGAAACATCATACATCCTTGGACTCAGCCGAAGCTGCCTGTTGAATCTGGGCTGAGCTGTGATTCAATGCAGCGTCCCTGCAGAAGGACAATCGGGCGTGTGCACTACTAGGTTCCCTGGAGCCGCAGAACCGCCGCGCGTCTGGCAGGCTTTTGGTGAATTAGAATCGCAAGCCAAACCACAAAAAATCCTAATCATGTGATCTTACCACAAACACCCCAAACACCGAAAACTGAAGCCCGCACAAGCTTGAAAGACCAACAGCCCTCTTCCGGTGCTGCTTGCCTTCAGCCTCTCGAGTCTGTCTCCGACCGCAACGCCAGCCTTCATCAAGCAATCGAATCCAGATTTCGGGGCTTTTTAGGGCATCTTTCCGCTTAGGGAGTCTCGGCGCTTTTTTGATGCTCAAACTCGGACAATGCCTGAAGCCTTTAGTAGAGCATCTCGGCTCTGAAGGCTTTAGCTTTTCATGAAGTTAGGGCTTGCAATTTCTGTGGTCAACTTCTATGAGGCGCAACTTAGGGCTTGTACCGATTCAAATCAGAAATATTACAGCTTCTAGTACTCCGGGCTGGCGGTTCTGGTCTTTGGTTTGAAGCGGCTCTAGGGAATCTGTCTTTTGCTTGGTTTGCCAGGGTTTCAGGGCTCGAGATTTATGCTTCGCAAAATGACCAGCATGCAACTCACAGGTCACTAAGGACATGTCTATCCTCCTCGCGCTCTTTCACAGGAGGGTAGGATGCATGCCTTGCTTGTAGCACTTCAACGCCCCCCCCTACCGTTCTACTATTCTCACCTGCTAGCTGGTTCCAAGTAAAATGGAGTTCCTTTTCCAGTTTCTCGTGCGGTTGGCTCGGCAGGGCTTGTTCCTTTCGTCGATCTTTGCGTTGCTGGCGTAACCCCGCAGAGCGGAACCCTGAACGAATCATCATCTGGCACACCAGGAGCCCAGGACGTAGAATTGAGACAATCTGGCCTGGTGCCGCAGCTGCTGGGGTGGCATGGCCACGGGCAGCAGAAGTGGCGGGCACAAGCACAAAGCGAAGTAGAGAGCTTCAAGAGTGAGTGTCGGGCTTGAGGGATCTTCTGGGCTCAGGGTGCTGTGGGCTGTGGGGGGCTTGAGCTGGAGTTAAGCCGGCGCCTGCGAACACAGCTGCTGTGTTGCTGGACGTCCCGAGGAACGCAGCAGTCCTACTGGCACTTGCCATTCTAAATACCACGGAACATGCAGACATGTGGATAAGCCACTTGAAGGTAAAAGCGATGCTGTTGTGGCAGCACAGGCTGATTGAGCCCGCAAAACGGACAAGCAGACAGGAGCTGCGGTAACTTCCGGGTGACCAGCCTCAGCCCTACGCAGCGAAGGATAGTTGGACTTGCGATGCCTTGACTTCTGCTAGCGAGCTCTCGTGCCACGACTGTTTCAAGGCCGGGGGCCCAGGACGAAGGCTTTCGTCTACGAACCCGTCGACTCGTCTCAGGAGGGGTTGCAGCAGTGGCGGCACCTCTTGTCTTCGGAGTAAACTAGAAAAACCAAGTCCTCAAGTTAAGTCAGCAACAGCAGCGCTGCACAGCGTCACTGTCGAGGATCCCACCGAAGGCTGAGGTTATCCCAGTATGCGACAGCCAAGCTGGCTGGATCTCAACAGACAAGACTTCGAACAACATACACTCAAATGTTCAAGAGAGCCAAGCACGCCCGGAAACCGACACAGCAGAAACATGCATGATGTGGCGCTTTTCCATCGCATGCCTGCAGAGCCTAGGCCTAAGCCATGGAATGGAACGCCGGCGTCGCATCGCATCTAACTCCATCCGACTGTGAAACAGCTCACTGCTTTTTTAAAGTCTGCGAACACATGGCTACATGAACCAATGCACGGACTCACATACGTGGCATGCGTGCATGCATACATACATGCATGCATACATCCTTGCATACGTGCATGCATTGATTGGTCACTCGTGCTCGACATGACTTTTTACACACATACATGCACACACAGCATGTCACACACACACACTTATGCATGATTGCATGCATGTTTAACCTGGCTGATGCACCTGTCGTTTAGACGCACCTCTCTACAGTGTGTATGCAAGTCACCAACAGCTGACCACATGACAGGGTACTCGCATCGCACGTGATTTCGTACCTGGACCAGCAGGTGCTGGAACAGCACCTCTGTAGTTTAAGCCGCCGTCTAGCCGCTAGCCATGGCGCCTTCATCCCACTCCTAAGATCAGGATTGCCTGTGCCCTAAACCTCAAATCCTGCTCGTCCCCAACTCTGCGTGTAAAGACTCATGCCGTTCACCAAAACCTCTACGAACGCCTCAACCGAATGAACGAGTTCATCAGTCCTCTGTTCCAACCTAATTTTCACGACTCCTGATAGATATAGGGCACGCGGAGGCTTACACTCTTGAAATACTGAAGGCCACCTTGTTCAGCGTAGTTTGCAACTTTTTCTTCACTCAAGGATTGCGGCATCTTGTGGGCACGAACTATAGTGCCTGCTCGAAGCGACACAGCAGCCCCCAAACCCAAAGAAGTCACATCGAAAACATAACACCTGAAAACCAGCGATGCCAGCGAACCTTGAGAAAGTTCTCGGGCAAAGAAGGTTGGGTCAACCAAAAGCCCACAGGCTTTGAGCTCGAAAATGCTCTGCGAGTACACGGGTGTTGTAGCAGGTTGACGCTGAGCCCCATGAGTGGATAGCAAACCATGCATAGTTCAGTTAAGGTTCCCGAACTGAGGTCGAAGCAACCAGACGGAAAGGTTGTGGTGTTGGCTTTGATTCTGCACAGTTTGAACAAGAAAATTTAAGGGTCCTGGGTAATAGAAACTGTGCTGATAAGCTGCACGGAATGCTTACAAAAGCAAGCCAGTCTGATCTTGAAACTATTTCCGGAGACCTGTCTGTCCTCTCTCAGCTGTAGATAAGTGTTGTGCTAATAGTTATACCCGCACAACAAAGGATTTTATGTCAAACGGATAAATCAGGAGAAAGTTGTGGAGCTGAAGAGAGAACTTCGATGCCATACCTTGACCCGACTCGAATCTGCAGCCCTCATCTGGAACCAGGATGGGCCAGCTCTGCCGTTGATTTCCTAAAACAAAGGACCCGGAATATGGAACCCAATCATTCAGACAACAGGGTAACGATTTATCTTGGGGGACCTCATACCCTATAAACCCTGCTTTCAAAGTGTGGCTCAGGGATTGCAATCCCCGGCCAGCATAACTTAGCTTAATCCAGGTGAAATAGGTATGCTTTTATTTCTGGGCCCAGAGCAGGATTTCGGATTCCAGCTACATTGTTTTGCAATGCAGGCACAAAGGTTCAAACTATATACTTACGCGAACATATACTACTGTACCATCACTATGATGGTATACAAGGCTCGCACAGGGATCACAGTACTACTACTCTTTGGGCCCAAGATGTCCGAACGAAACGTTCTCGCAGACCCGACTTTCTCTGCTGCCAGTAGCGCAAGGGGAGCTGAGAAAATGCGGCTGCCCGCAGAATCAACGGCCACAGTAGCAACAACTGCGCAACTTCCTTGTTCAACTCGAAGGGTACTTGTACCCATAGCAGGCTGGTAGCAGGCTCGCGTGATCAGGACAGGTGGTTGGAGACCGATCGTGGAAGATTCCTGGACAAAAGCTCCTTTTCATGCTTGACCCGGCTCCGTGACTTGCGGGTTGCTCTGAGTCGTTTGGCTTTCCATTTATGCACCTCTTTGTGTAGGAATCTGTGGCGGCAAGACTCCTACAGTCCTGAATCATATATACATGTATACGTATACACACATACATACATACATACATACACAGCAACATACAAACATGTATGCATACATGTAGGAGGGAAAGAAACGAACATTGACGCACAGCCTGCAAGTGTTTGTATGTATGCATGTACGCATGCATGTATGTGTGTGTGTACGTATGTGTATGTCTGGATGCATATACACATCTACATATCAGCATATAAACATCTGTATATATATATATATATATATATATATATATACACACAAAACACATACATACATGCATATCTACATATATATATATATAGATATACCTGTATGTGCCCATATATATATATATATACACATACATACATAGAAGTTATAAAGATGTATACCCATATATATATATATATATATACATACATATACATTCAAAAACCACTGAACATGTGTACATGCGTGCGTGAATGCGTCCTTGTGAACATAGGTGCATACAGGCCAATAGTCATAGGTTAATTCAGGCACAAGTATGGGAGCGCACAAGCAAGATGCTTGATTGCGTGCTTAGGTGAGAACAGTGCTTTGTTTTGCTCCCATGTTGCTTCGGACCTGCAACGAGTTGCCGTGAACTCCTAGACCGTACTTGCAAAGCCTAGACCCATCAAGCTCAAAAGGATTGTAACTAGCGCAACACATATTGATACAACTCCATCATATGCCAGTCAGCTCGACCTGCGCTAGGCCAGTGAAAAGACATGAAGCGGTATTTCGAAAAGTTGGAAGATGCCACCCACGGGCTTGCAAGGGCATATCCAACTCCTGACAGACTTGGCTACCATGACACGACATCATCAGCTCTCGAGCCGTGCCTTAATCTCAAAACGGCTTGCGAAAATCCTGTGCACGTACACGTGTGCGCCTCGCTTCATGGAGCACGTATGTTTCGTGTTGTACCTCTTAATCAAGGCGGCGTGTGCTACGCTGATTTGCTGTAGCATACTCGTCTCAAAGGTAGTTTCCTGACAGCAACCGTTCCCGCAACCAGGCATGCATTGGAATTTGTACACGAAAACTATGTTTGACGTGATGTTGGATTGATCAGCAACCGTGCTGGGTGGCATCTCCCGTGTTGGCAAGTCTCCATGGACTTGCATGAATGGATAGGCCGTGCCAGCAAGTCGTTAAGCGCTAAGACAACAGCAGGTCCTTACATGTCCTTACCACAAGTTCGATTTAGGGGGGTCCGGCACTCTAGACATGCGCTGCCGAGGCTTCAATTGTAAGTAGAGGCAATGCTCCGGGGTTTCAAAACGTTAATAAACAAGGGGCATGGAACCTTGATCGAATAGTGCCTGGTTCATGTCATTCTTCCTGTCATTAGCTTGTCAAGAACATCCTGTCTTTCTGAGCCGTCCACAAGGCTTTACAGTTTTGCCTAAACTAAACCCCAAACCTAAACTCAACCCTAAAACCTAAACTAAACCTAAACCCTAAACTAGACCCCTAGACTAAACCTTCAACCCTGAATCAAACCTTAAACCCTAAACTAAACCCTAAACCTTATAAACCCTAAACCCTAAGTAGACCCCAAGCCCTGCCATCCATCTGATCGGATTGCTCTTCCCCCTCCGGGGTGGAGGACCTTAGGTTCCTCTTTGAAGCATCTCTTTTCAAATACGGCTTTCCCGGGTGCGCAGAGAAATATATAGAATAAACATGTACATAGATGTACGTGTATATATATATGCATACACACCTCTCTCTTTCTATATATATATATATATGTATATATATATGTATATATGTATACATATATATATATATATATGATGTAGTGTAGAATATACTATATTTATTTACTTGCTGGTTATGATTATTTGGAATCTCGCAAGCAAAATTAGGGGTGCCTTTGTAAGGGTCCCTGTCATAAGAATCTGCTACTCGTGGTCTACACCACCTGTGCCTTGTCTTGCTGGTGAGAATTGAAGTCGTGGTGGTGGTGCTGCTGCTGGTGGTGGCGGCGGTCGCGGTGGCGGTGACATTCATGGCTCGCACAACAAACTACTGCTCCTCGCTTCGCGGCTTGCCTGGATTTTGCCGCTGGATACGGTGCGGCCAGTTCGAACGATACAAATACGCTGGTTCCAATAGGTAGGCCTGGAACTCAACCATCATCAAGCCCGAGACTGTCAAAGACATGGAGTTTGGGGTCTTCGCATGACGTCTAGGCTTCGGGTTTTGACCCGTACCCTACACTTTGACTCTCAGTGGGCTGCAACGTTAAGCCTTGAGGCACTACGATATAGACTCCGAGGCAAAGTCCTTCCGGGACAACCGAGAAGCCCCAGTGCTAAAACGCACATGTCCTGGGCTGCCTCACACGATGGCGGAACCTCAGATGCATGGAAATCTCTCGCAAGTTGGCGTCACTAGACTCCCCCTTTCTGGGCCGTGCTTCAAGGCCATGATGGGAGGCATCCTCGAGTGATTCTCAGGTCACAGAAGAGGAGGTCATGACGGTGAACTGCGCTGAATCACGCATCCAATACAATTCCTTAAGGGTCGTAACACCTAGAATAGGGTATTGGGGGGTAGGGTATTCTCGCTCAAGATCATGCTGACTGTCGGGGGGTGTTGTCGTCAGTAGTGTAGTTTGTCAACCCAGCTGCAAGCAAATATGTACGAAGGCTTTTTTCAATGATCCAAGTTCCTCAGGCCCCTTCTTGAATCCTAAGCCCGCTCCCGCCCGTGCCACCGCAAAAGGAAACCTAATTACCGGCCCTGAGCTCACATCCCCAAATCCCACATCGTCCAGCTGGACCGACCCCCTTTGCAAAGACAACCCAGCACCTTATCTCGAAAAAACCAAGAGTCCAGGCAGCATACAAAGGACTTTAACACCATAAACCCTAAGCCAAAGTCCTTAAAACCCCAACCCCGGAGCCCAGAGCATGCACCACCCTGAATATCTTACTCTCTAGAAGCGACAACTCGGCTTGGGATGATGCTGGCGGCCCGCTTGCCCTTGGCATCGCCGGGCCTTTCAGCTGCAGAGTTTGAGCTAGCACTGCAACTCACAGGTGTGATTCGGGAATTTGTGGCTCAGGGATTGCTGCTGTGACGGTGTCTTGCAAGACTTTCTTCAATCATGGTTTCAACTTATTCCTGCACATGGAGTTGTCGTCGCCTCATGACTTCTGATCTACTACTTTGCTTCAACCCTCGCTGCTACTGACTACTGCTACTATTACCCACCGCTTCAGACAGCAGACCCAACCCTCACACGAAAAAACAACACGAGCGTCTTTGTAAAAGAGATGCCCCCGAAAAGAAGCCCGAATGCAGAACGCGGGGAACAGTTTCAAATCCCGTCGCGGTCCTCAGCTCGTCGCTGTAGAGCTCATCATCTTCGTCCTGCTTCACTGAGGGCTTCTGGGGATTTTGGGCTTCGTGTTTAAGGCTCAAGAGCAGGGTCCCTTTACTATGCTCTCTGTACAGACTTGTGGGCCGAAGGTTTGCTACTCACTGCCCCTACCCCTACCCGAAATAGAGCGCGGGTGTTGAGGATTGGGGTTGGGAGGAGCACACCATCATCATGGAAATCCACCTTGGCAAGCAGCCCTGGCCGGTAAAATGGCCCATCACTTATGTCATGTAGTCATGTAGTCCCTCTCTCCCTCAAACCCTACTTTCTCACTGTCTTTGTCGGCTCTGGCGACATGGTGAGCCGTGCACGATGCTACGTGAGGGTTGCTCGTCGTTACCATGTCGAAGCTTGTTGCATGACCTTTTGAACCGCTAACTGTTTAACCCCTCCAACCCTATACACCTCAAGCTCTCGGCTTGCCAAGAGGGTGGAGCAACAGACAGTTGCAGCGCTGGTTGCAACAAAACAGCCGCACAATCCTACAGAAGGTGAATTCTGCTCGTGCATTCAAAGGCCTCGACAGGTGCTTGGCAAGCGTGCAAAGCAGTCTCGGTGAATGGAAGCCAAAATAACAAGTCACTCAAAAGGCAGACACCGGCTATTCCTATGGCGCTTCCATTCCTGGAAGGGAGCCTTCCCCGTCAAGCGACCAAGTATGGTATTCTAGTACACTGCGCGCTCCGTTGGCGAAGCCCCGTTGCCTGCCTGTCAAAGGCTGCGAGGAAAAGGGTGGGACTCGACATATTAAACCAAGCTACGAGAACATGCATCTGTAGATTGACCGTGATGACTTCCCACATAAGCGCCCCGCGATACCCTTCCTGTCCGCAATGGTTGCCGGTACAGGGCATCTGGTGCCTCGAACAAGCCAAACCAAAAGCTCCAGCCAGACTCAAGCTGTAAGATGTGCCCTTTTCTTTCCAATCGGGAATTCGTGCTGGCTTTGGGAGACGATTTTGGCCATCACAGAAGCGGAGAACTTCATGCATGCTGCAGCACAACGAGTGCAACATATCAGGAGAGGGGCTCTCAGTGCGGGAGCATCAACCATCCCATCTCTACATGCAAGTCCTCTCCTGATGGAGACTCGCGCGCGCTGAGCCGTCGCATCAAACACCGTGCAAATTGAATTGCGAAGCAGAGGTGCTGGCGAAAACCGGTATGTTGACTGCTGGGGCCAAGATCAGCAGGTTGGCTGGGTCTGCGTGTAAAGCCCGGCAGAGGGATGATGTCACGAGACAAGTGATTATCCCCCAACACACATCTGCCACACCATGTGCGGCTGCATAATTATATATATATATATATATATATATACATACACGTACGTGTTGCTTGGCAACGATGGGCTACAGGTGTAATTGGGAGCTCGAAATGTACCCTAGATCCCAACCTCTGATCCAACATTCGCCAGGGATTTCATAGTTGAGGGTTTATTTATACATATATATATATATATATGTATGTATACACACATAAGAGCAACCGAACTTAAAGTATTTAGAAGAAGTTGAACTACCAAGGGTCGGGACCCGAGTTCGCAGCGCGCAGCTATGACATGGAATTCTCCTGGGTGATCCCTGGAGGCTCGCCCTTAGATTCTTCTCGCTTCGCGCACGCTGCAGAATGACTCGCCACGAACCACATGAATTCGGGATGTCCGGCTACACTCACGAATTGCAAGTAGCCGCGTGCTTGCTAAACTTTAAACACTTGGGCGATGAATTTCCCTGTTCTTCCTGCCAACTAGGGGTCGAAGTACCAAACAGTCATATACTTCACCAAAAACTTACCTACGTTGATTACTAGTCTCCTAGACCCCAGTACCTGCTGGCTTCAGTTCACAGGAAAGTGGTGGACAACACTCCCACCAAACAAGAAACGATGCTCGAAAGGAATGATGCCTGCCTCACCAGCCTTGGCTGAGAGCACGGCGGTTTAGGCTTTAGGCTTTAGGGGTGTAGGGTTCGGGGTCTAGGCTTCAAGGTCCGGGGCTTGTGTTGCTAGGGTAGCACCTCGCCATCTTGAGTCTTTCACTGTAGAGAACTGCACGAGAAAGCAGGACAGCAGCAACTCCCACAAGCAGACAAGGCAAAACGAGGGACCCTGATATAGAACCCCGAAAATGGAACCCTTATTGTTTTCGACCCCTTACCAAGAAGTCGGAAGTCCAGATCCCCCACAGTAAAGAAGGTGAACAGTCAATAGCCACGAGGCATTTCTGCGGTCACCTTCAGCTCCGGCAGCAGGGCTTGGGGTTTGCACTTCCGACTTTAGACTTGGGCCGGAGGGTTGGATTGTCTGAAGCTTATAAGGATCAGGGGTTGGAATTTCGAAAGGTCAGGACCGACGCTCCGAGGTGTGGAGTTTAAGTTTGTGGACCTTGTGGGCGAGCGTGTCCCAGATCAGGCTGCAATGGAGAACTCAAGCAAGTTCGTGCAGACTAGGGTTGCTCAAGACGTCTCTCCTGCCAGCAGCAATAGGGCATAGCCCGAACACTGAAAAACTTCAAGGTCCATGCCACTGCATTTTTGCAGGCTCGTCCCATCGGTCTGTCATGAAAGTCCAAAGCAATGTTGCTATGCCCTTCCATTTTTCGGGTAGGGCAGGATAGGGTAGGAATGTTAGATACAAGCATACATAACATGTTTTTGTATGTCTGTCCATGGCCTTCATGTTCAACACGGAGAAGCCAGCAGCACTGTCTGCGATGTAGGTCACCAAATACTGCCGGCTGGGATCGCAGCCTCGCCACGATGGAGAAAATTATTAAAGTTATTGTTAAACTGGGGCCCGCCGCTCTTACAACTAGGGGGGCGGGTGTACTTCATCCCAGGAATCCGAACCCGAACCTGCAACCCTGCCCTGCAAGTCCAGCTGAATCAAAGAACCAAGCAGAACCAATGCTGTCTTTTGCACCATGCTATCGCAACCCGGAAGACAGGTGATTCGGAAGGGCCACAAAAGTACTTAACGAACAAGCTTGTATACAGGCAGGATGTGCCACTGCCCGGAGACAACAATCCTGTAGCCTGTACTCATGAAGCGAACACCCCGAAGAAAGTACAAGTTGTTTCGCACAACTCTCTCCACTACGATGGACCAATGATGCTCATGCCCGGCCCTTTCCCGATATGCTGAGCGTCCACATCCTCCAACCACGCAACCCGTAAGCTCCTATGCCCGAAACCCTCAACTCCGAAAAGACCCTTCTAACCACAGGGCTCTTGCAGGGATACATGCAGGTACCCTCCCCTCCCTTCCAGACCAACAGACTACGCATGCAGGTCTCATGATTTCATGATTGATTCGCTTTCCCCGTATGGGACCCATGAAAAGAGCACCAAGCTTTGCAGTATTGTCCCTGGCTGGCCCATTCAACGACCAGGGAACATGCTCGAATACCAAAACCTTAAAGTAATACCCACAAATCCTTCGAGCCCAAACCCAAAGCATTACTTACCATCCATCATAACATGGTCTTGTGGACCGCAAAAGATGTAACACTAGAAACCCAATACGTCTTCAAAACACACGGAGCTCGACTACCAATGCCCACAAAGATGCAATTTTGCGTCGGTATTTGATTCACGAAGGCTGGTATCGATCGGCACTTCTCCTGGGCTTTCGGTCCCTCGCTGTATTGCCCGAGACTCCAACATCCCTTGAGCAAGGAGTATTCTCTAAATTTCGATGATAATAAAGCTCAAGAACCCCTGCACGACCAAGAATATTTCGAACTGCTAGATTCAGTTGCGTCGACACTGCTATCGCAAGCAGCATTCTTTAGGAATCGTCGTTGTGTGCACATCTTGTATTTTCAGGCTTCCAGGTGAGCGGTTTCAACTGCAACTGGGATACCCCTCGCGAGGCAGGTTGGTCTATCGACCCTCTGCACAAATCACTACATTGTCAGCCACATTTGATTTGTGGTCAACGGTAGAGCTGACAAGCCACCCTTTCTTGTGTTTGAGCCAAGTACGGATGTAGCCAGAGTGCTTGACCAAATGTCACTACTGGTTTGGGCCGATGGTGCAGTTTTGTCAGCACGAAGCAGGCGTCCAAGGTTTCGGGTTTGGGATTTAAAGTTTGGGCATTTAGGTTGGGATAGGTTTTGCCGAAGATGTGCGATAAACAAGGATTGCCGCTTGCAGTTTGGTCAAGGGTGCTGAGGGTTGGGGTTGGAGGATCGTCCAAGATGAAACTGTACATCCTAGAAAGAGTTCATGTTAGGCGACGCAGTTAGTACGCCAGCCTGTGAAATAGTGCATGCATTTCCGCGCAGGTTCATGCTCTTGGTACACATCTCTGGAAACAAGCCGCTCCAAACTATCAAACAACTAGCTAAAGAGAAAGTCTTCGAGGGAGATACGTAACCGGAGCACTCCCAAACCCGTGAACCCTTCTGTAACCCTTTTTGTTGTTGAACCCCTTCTTGAAACCGGTGAAAGCCTGAAACCTCAGCTCGCATATCGAAACACGCAGATGGGATCCCGAGAAACGGTCAAGCCCCAAACACTTCACTGAGATTTGCAAGAAGGGCAGCTGTGAGGGCTGCGGCATGAGCAAAAACTCGCATACTCAACCTAAGCTGAAAGGTTTCGGATTTCGACCTGGTTCTGACGGACTCTAGACCGGCGTTACGCGATTTTGTCTGGCTCGGAGTTGTGTGCGAGGAAGAAGGAAGGTGGGGTCTTCTTTTCTGCCGGCCTAGCTTGAGCTTCTGCGGGCTTTGGTTGGATTGGCTCTATCGGGCTCAGGAATTCCGGGTTTTCAGCTTCCTAGCAATACAGTAGGGCCGAATAGGGCTTAGGCGCGAGGTTCAGCATTTCGGGCAAAGGCACTCGCACTGCCACGCACATTCTTGTTTCGTGCGGCTGGAAGCCTCTTTGCTGGAATGGCTAATCAAGTAATTCGAAAAGCAGCAGGAACGGTTGAAGGCAGATACGTCATCGTACATTAGTTATTTTTAATTTCTAGAAAATAT